CATAGGCAAATCAAAAGAAAAATCACTGCGCTATGGGACAGACAGCTTTAAGCAAGGTGCAATAATAATTAATGCAAGTTTATGGGGGACACATACATATGTACATCTGTACGAGAGGGCTGTGTGCACATCCATCCGTGTCCTATGCGGACGCCCATGAGAGACAAGAGATAAAGGACACTTTGTTCGATAAAGGAAACAATGGTGTCAATCTGACTTTTCCGATCGGAGCACATGCCTCTTATGTCAATTTGATTGACTTGGTCATGATCTGGAGAGACGAGATATCTTTTCTCGTTCACACAACATATGGGTCTCTCAGTTTGGTCAGTATGCTCAAAGGAGCAGAAATCTCATCCCTACCGATCCCTTGCTGACTGATGCAGTTATTTTCTTGGCGTGGATGGACAGCTGGGTGTCAAGTCACTCCAATTTTTTATGGAAACAAACGAGCTCCGGTAAACGCCCATGTCTTCAATTGCGAGAAAGTAGTTGGGGGGAAATTAGGGAATTATTTGCTAAAATAAGTACTGCGCAATGGCAACTTCCCATCCCTCTGACCACAAATGTCATAGTTCACACACCAACAACCCCCATACACAAGTGGACACAACACAATTTGTATTGTGCTCCAAAGGCAGGAAGAGGATCATTGTATAAAATATATCGATGGCTTTTTTGACACAGGTAAAATTAGTTTCACATCAAATTGACGAGCAGGCAAGGGTTGAGCAAGCTGTCAGATTTTTCGGAGTGGTTTGGCTTTACTTCCTTGCACCTTGTGACTTTATTAATGGAGAGACCAGCAATAATGGAGAGGTTTTGGCAGTGTGTGTGTGTGAGTGAGTGAAGAGGTTTCGACCTCAGTCGTTACAATCAATGCATTCTGTAGTCTTTTTTGGTTGATGGTGGTGAGACTGGATGGGAGACAAGTTTATTTTCCCATTAAAACTGTCAACATTACATTTTGTGTCTCCTTCCCTCCTGGCACGAGCACTATCAGGGAAGAATGAAGCCAGATTTCCATTCGTCGGATTCATTACGCCTTTCACACCTTACAACCACGTCGACCACCTTATTGCTCTGCCACCTCATGCTGTTCGCTGGGTGGGTGGGTAGGCTGGTCCGTGGTGGTGTGGCTTCCGGGTGAAAAAAGCTTTTATTTTTACCCAATGCTTCTTCCAATACATATTCTCCAACTAACCGACCTCACCTTTCAAGGAAGGTGGTAACACATTTATTGATAATTAGTGATTATGCATATAGTAAATTTTATAGAAAAACTGGAGCGGCTAGATTACTTTTGTTAAGTACATTTTTTCCAGTATATAGTTTAGTCGCAATCGCTTTGATTTTGATTTTGTCTCACCTTCAAAAGAGTGGGCAAGTCCAGCAGCAATAAGATTAATGCGTCACGATACGATGCATTAAAATTTCTGACATTGATGTTGATTTTATCCAAATGAGGCGTTTTCTTTGCTAATCATTCATGCAACTACTGGATATCCACAGCCATTTAGCACAAAATGTTGACAAATCGTTAATGCTCACGTCCACCCATGGATTAATCATGGGTACATTTGCGAAAAATATGATTCCGGCCATTTCCATGCGCATTCTTCTCATGAACGGGTTTTCTTTCTTGTAAATCTACCAGATTTACATACACGGAGTTGAATTTGCGTCTGAGGCTTGATTTCTGCTTTCTTCATTGTTCATCATAATAATGACGCTATTTGAATTAAGTACTCGAGAGGAGACTTTTGCAGCTCAATCCTCCTCCGAATAGCATTTTGTGCATATTTCCATGGGCCGAGGAGACCGCACTACCTGCTCGACTATGGTTTGTTTAATGATGGATAGATTTTGTTTCATTTCATTTTATTTTCTGGCCATGATTTGATTTCTCGGTGGGGGTGTTTTGTTATCCTGAAAGAAGCAATTCCACCACCACCACACCAACTCTGAGGAAACGACGGTGAAGAAGAAGAAGAAGAAGTTGCTGCACACACTGCATCATTCAGTCTCAACAATTTAATTGGTTTTCGAACTGGGCAAGCAGGCAGGGGTAGGAGAGGGAAGAAGGGCGAGGAAGAAGGTATGGTGGGCATAATGTGGTGTCTCGCTATACATCCGCCAGAAATAAATTAAACCGACTTTTTCCTCCTTGTGCTCTGCTTGCTGTGATGAAATGGAGAGACAGAGACGATTTGAATGTGGAGAATGGAAGGCAGAGAGGAAAAAGCCGGAGGAGATGTGTTTCCATTTACATTTGCCTGCCTGCCAAGAGACAAAGACAGGGTTGGAAGTAAGTGACACGTGCTGCGGTGACGAGAGCCAAACAATAATGTCCTCTCAATTTGGAGCCAAATCATCAACAAACTTCTTGTTCCTCTCTTCGTTTCTTATTCGTCTTGTCTGTATTTTCTTAACAAATTGCTTTCCCTTCAATCCGTCCGTCGGAATCTTATTTGTTGTCATTCATTTTCCCAACCCTCAATTATTAATGCGACTCAATTTCCAAGCTGGAGTAAGTGAAAGCACTTCCCGAGATGGTCATTGTGTTTGTTAGACTACATTTTTCTTGGAATTTACAAAATTGAATATGTGGTGGGCAAACTTACATAAAATTATCCAGTTGCGATTGCAAACTTCCAACTATGTCATCCCGGTTTCGACCAGATACATTGTTGAAATTGAATCAACCTGTTTCGCTTTCCAGCAGAATCACTAAATAACGAGCCAGTCATTATTTTATGCCATGACATAACTTCAAGTTATGTCGTAACGATCAGGTTTTAGGTTTTGAGATGCACAGACGAGGTGCTGAAGGACAAGCGTCTCTCATCCCCCACTCAACAGCTTACAGGATGATGATGGGCTATCAAAAATTCATAAAAGGGCTGCTGCTGCGTCAAACCAATGATCGCATTGTTAAGATGTTGACTCTTCATAAAGCAGCAGTAGTTTAGATATTGTGGGCTGTAAAGAGCATCTAATGACTTTATCTCAAGTGTATGTATGCCATGTGATGGGACCATATTGGGACCACGTCGCCTCCCAGGCACACAACCCTTGGACACTTTATATTAAAATAACAATATATTTTTGCAAGAAATACTGCATTGATCGTAAAATACTGGAATTACCTGTCCAATAGTTTAACAGAATTGAAATAAAATGTGTCTCTCATGAATATGGAATTGAAATCCTGGCGAAGAAGAGGAGGAGAGAAAGGAGGAAAGCCTGGTGGAACTAGGTAGTGAAAAGTGAACGATTTGAATAATAATTTATTGATGAGAACAAGTGTGTGTGGTGTGGTATGCCGGGGTCGGATTGGGCTCCGTGAGGAGAATGAATTCAAGAAAATCTGGAGTGTTTTTATCGGGAATGCAGATGTCTGATATGACATAATTTTATTTTATCTTCATTCACAAGGAAGGAAAAGTGCACATAGGGTGCTGTTGTAACATTCTTGGGGAGAATTGGATTTGTTCTCCTTTGCAGCGATGGATCCTCAAGATCACTTTCATCTCTCAAGTGAGCTTTCCAAACTCGGGGAGAAACTTGGACGGGGAAAGTGAGACTGGAGGAGATTTTCCGCTTAGTCAATCCATACAGTTTGCGTAAGGGAGCAACCTTCCTGCAGCAGTAGTGGGTTTACTTTTGTATGATTTTTTCATAATCTGTGTGAAGGAGAGAGTGGAAAAATTAAAATCACGGAGAAACATTTCTACGCAAAGATGATATGGAGCAGATCGTTGAGAAATGAAACCCTGGCGCGTTGTGGGTGAAACCAATTTGTTCTGATCTGATGGTTCACTTCAAGAATGTGAATTGACTATAGAGCAGTTTTTGAGGAGGGAAGCTATTACCTTTCCATGAAAAGTCGTAAATTTTCGAAGCATCCTCTTGCCTCCTGGTTGTGGGTGGGTTTGTCTACTCCTCCACGTATACGTACATCCATAGGAAGGAGGAGTGGTAATAGGAAGGATACGGGCATATTTTTGCATTTTATTTCATCTGGGGAAAAGAAGCCAGTTTTGTACAAACGATATTTTAAAGGCTATTTGAACCGACAATAATTCATGGGAGTGGGAAATTGTAAAAATATCTTCTTCTCACTCTCCACCCAAAAGGATTCAACCCTTTGAATGAATGGATGGAGGAGATGAATTGAGGGGTGAGGAAATTCGGGAGCAAAGTCTTCCAGAGAATTTTTAAGATAACACCTTCCCCATGGTCGTAAAGGTTGCTTAAACTTAAAGTCCACCACCATTAGATATTTATGAATTCTCGAGCACCATCAAACGTGTGGAATGAAGGGATATGTACGTTCGCACGTATGTAATAGCAGTGGTGGCAATACTGTGTAAAACCTTTTGATAGCTTATCAGTCATGGATATTGAAAGATTTCTGTGTTGGAATGAATTGAAAATTTGTGAAAAAATACACCTGCTCAAAAAAAACTATAACGAGGACGATAAAAGTATGATGAGTTAGTGAATGAAATTTGTCTGAGATTTGTCCAAACTTAATTGCAACTGTGCCACTCTGTGCTGAAAATTGAGATTTTTTAAAGTTTCAAATCATTGAAAATATAATAATTAGTTTGTGTGTATGTATGGAACTCGTAAAACGCGAATACTTTCCGGTTTGACAATTCCCATTAAAATATCTCTGAAAAGCTCAATGGGTTCGACAGAGTACCAAGAAGAAGAGAGGTGAAGTGATGTTGCGGTTGTTTTATTTGGAATGTCGCCCCCATTACCGTGTTTCCTTCTGTATACAAGCACAGTTGCATTTCTGAGCGTCTCAATCTATCCCCAAAATCATTTGAACTTCTCTGCATTGCATTCAATGACTTTCCTCCCTTAATAAGAACCAGTCTCCATGAATTGGAGAACCCACTACGTATTGATGGTTGAGATTCGAGATTCACTCACTTTTTCCACTACGAAAGGAGGAAGAAGAAACACTTACAACACACACTTTGCTCCTCAAAAGAACCTTTATTTTCAGAGAAAGGGTAGAAGATTGGCAGGCAATAGAATTTTATGAAGTCATATTTTTCCTAAATAAATTCCCAGTTCTACATCGTGTCACAAAGTCCAAAGTCAACGAGGCTGGGAAATGGGTAATTTTGCACAATCAATGTATGGAATGTCCTCTTTCTTCCGTCCTCAGCCTCCTACGAGCTCGAGAGAGAAGTGACGGAATTCTGAATCCGGATGGGCCAGTCTCACGCGCTTTTTTTCAGGAAGGACGAAGAAGAGACCGAGTGAGAGAAAGTTGGAAGAAAGGGTGCTTGATTCTAATGTGATTTTAAAAAGATTTTTCCCTCGTTTCATTCTACTCTTTGGCACCAGCGATAGAAATCTTGTCCCATTTTCTGCTCAAAGCTGAAATGGGGGAGAGACGAGTAGTGTTTGGTTGCCCAGATAAGATAAGATTTTATCCTCCTCCGGTTTGCCGGATTTCCAGGTTTTGGTTAATAGGAAAAAACACTGAAATGAAAATTCATGCATGCCAATTCCTAGTGAGATGCACTCTTTACATCAAATATGTATGTTATCTTACCGAACTGAAGGATGCACTGACCGTGAAAATATGTAATTAAATCTAACAAGCTGATTTTCTTTGCAGGGGGAGGAGACTGGTGGCGGCAGTGAGATGGTGAACCGTCGAGAAGCCGAAATGGAGAACGAGTGGCTCAGCGCGGATGAGACCAAAAAAAACTTTGTCGCAAAATATCACGACGGATGTCAAGTTGGACTGTTTGGATGGCGACGACGGTGTCTGTTCCTGGTTCTAATTATCCTCCTACTTCTTGTCATCATCAACTTGGCTCTCACACTGTGGATACTCAAGGTCATGGAGTTTTCTACGGTAAGCAGCAGCAGCATTTTTTTGTTTGTAACTTGACATGAAATTGTATTCAGTAGTTTCAAAGGTTCTCAAAGTTATAAAGCTGCTACTACTAGTTAGTTAGTTAGTTGGATGGTTATTTAATTTTCGAGTTTCACTCTCTGCATTTACAATACTTTGACAGCATCGGGTAAGATGAAAGAACGTCCACGTTCGTACCCGTCTCTAGTAATTCTTCATTGGTTTGCTTGGTTTTGCTTACGTACTTTGTACACAGAGGGAAAAAAACTTGAATCGGAGGGAAAGAAACATTTGCTCAAAAGAAATGTATTGAGGATCTGTGATGCGAGTGAATTCGAAAATACATTACCCAAATCAGTTTGTAAAACGGATCTCTCTCGTCTGTGAAACTGTAAAGAAGAAGAACATGAAGGGAAAACACGCTCCTTTCTTTGCACTATATGCAGATTCATTCACGCACTTCTTGTGCCACTCAGTTTCGTTTCGGCACAAAGAATCAATCTGAGAACCCAGCTTCTTTTTTATCAAGTTGCTTTCATTGTGCTCGACGGTAGCGGAATAAGTCAGTCGTTGTATTTATTTACTACATATGTGCAGCTTTCCTCTAATGATGATTTCGGCATTTTCGGCCTCCAAGTTGAGATGAGTGTGTGTAGGGGAAGTTAAGCAGGAGCTCTTGTAACCCATTTAAACCAGATTTGCCAAAGTGATTTTCTTTATTTTTGTCAGCATTTACTGGAGCATGCAGTTTTATCCATGAGCTAATATGGATAATGTGTCCTACATAAGATGAAATTGATCCAAATTATACGGGTTCTTGTTGAATTCGTTTAGTGTTACACAAATGATATAGATTTGTTAAGCGTTAAATTGTATGATGACAAATTATCCATCGATTTTACACACAAACACGACTTTATGACATACATTATGTATGTGGTTATATATGTACGAGAACAAGACGGTATAGTGGAGAAACTTGAAAATTGGGGGATTTTATTAATTCACAACAATAAAATGTAATTGAGCTCCATCCGAGAATCTCGTCGTGGGCGGTCTACAGGTAATTCATGAATCATTTCGACTCTTTTGCTCCCTTACTTTCACAAAGTTTGGATAATAATAAGCCAACGAGAACCAACTTGTTCTTTTCCTTGTCTCGCGGAAGAAACAAGAGACTCCTCGCACGCCGCTCTCCCACCCCAACTTTTCTCATGATAAATTCATATCCGATGCAGAAACAGGATCATCTATCATCCAAGAGGTAGGAAATTTATACCTAATTTGTACCAGCTTCTGCTGCTGCTCCCACTCCTTCGCTGCCTGTGCATGGCAAGGACCGAGGAGGAGAGAGTGGTCGAGATGAGGTGAGAAGATTTAATAGGTAGCTCAAGGGATTCCATTTAAATACGTATGAATATTTAAAGATAATTTGCTATTCAATCTAATATTCATGCCCAAAATCCAGCTCTGTGAACTGTACAAACCAGTGCAGAGCATTTCCCCTCGGCAAGGAAATTCTCACTCACACATACGTACGCGTACACTCCTGATCGTGTTCGCATATCATCAAAATATGAGACAGGGTTTTGAGCGATGCAGCCAACTTGTAATATGTGCAGGCTTTCTCTGATCCTGATATAAACGAGATAAGGGGACAGACAAAAGCAATCTTGTCGTTCACTTAATGGGGTCAAAGGAAATCAACCTTGAACTTAAAATATGCTCAAGTATGGTTATTTACAGATTACACAACGACACCACTTAAAAATTGCGTCATTCTCAAGTACACACTTACCCTTGACCATTAACTTGAACTAATTACGTACAAAAGTAGTTTCTCCGTGTCTTATCATTAAGTATGCGAAGATGAAGAAGGTTGACTTGAGGGTGGTGGATACGTGTGTATTTCTAAGTTGGTTGTCATCACTCAGGAGAAAGGAAGGCCTAGTTATTTACTTATGAGAATGCATCCTTCGCCTCTACGTACGTATGTAAAAGTACACACACTCCGTCGGCCTGCCCGGAGAAAGAGTCGACAAGGAGGAGGAAGGGAAAGAGAGATGATGGTTGTTAAATGGCAGTAGTAGTGGTTCGTATAACAGCTCGAGCAAGCATGGTCTTGAGAAGAGATGTGCATTCCAATTAGTGCATTATTAAAATGCCATTGTGCTGCATAAAGTAACCAAAAGACAACATGTACTTCACCAACCAAACCAAATCACCCTTTCCGGATACGACGACTGAAACTCTATTTCGGGACGACTTGCATTCTCTGTATTTAATTTTGTAGGCAACCCATCTGAATGTGGAATTAATGAAAAATTTTAGACTTGCTTCTCACTCTGAAACAAATTTGCAGGGACAATACTGCTGTACGTACATTTGTAAGTACTTGGAATTCCCTTCGAGTTGAACCATCGGATTCTGGTCAGCGTGACTGGTAAATGATTGGGATAGGACATAATTTTTCTGTAAAAGTTGTAAAATTCACCCAAAATCCTGAAAAGAACTGTGGTGGACAACAATTCGATTGCAAAGGTTTCACGTACATGAGAAATCAGAGGTTGGTACACATTATACAAACATTTTCTCATATGCTACATATTTACAACGCCTTCTGCGATCTCGTAGTTACGGGATAGTTGTGGGTAATGTGATTTAAAAGTTGTCTTAAATTCCAATTCTGTGCTTTTCCCTTGACACTTCTGCATCTCCGAGTTTCGCCCTTTGCTTCTGCTGAAGAAATTTTGTGTGAAATGAACATAAGTTTGCCTCAAGTGGGTTCACGTTGCGAACTCGGCTGAGAATGAGACTGATATTAGCATTAGGTTTGGTGCGAGAAAGCAAAGTTTGCAAAGCGGCGGAGATGCGGAGGAAATACATACATCTCGCACAACATTTCCTATTTTACGTTATTACGGTCATGGGCGGAGGAGTGAAGACGTTGGTGAATATGGCGAAGCGTGTTTTTCAACTTGTTCGAGAGATTAATTTGTCTCAAAAGTGAAGCAGCCCAACTCATGAAATGAAGGTGAATAAGCAGGTATGGTTCTTATTGACAAAGATGGGGAGGAAATATTGGGTTTCGTATACGCAAACAAAAACAATAGCAAAACAAGAATATCAGATGCGTAAAGTTTTCGTGACAGTCAGTTTTATCAAAGAAATAGCAGTGAACTTCATTAAACCTATTATTCTGGATTCATTAGTATCTAAATTGGGATCGTGATAACAATCGTTTCTTGTAACCAGTAATTAGATTTTTTTTAATCGGTTGGGTTAATGACAAATCTGCTCAATGACAAATTCAATATTTATCCAAGTAGTGGAAATTGCAGTTCAATCGTCACATCATTTATACTGAATTTTAAAACGTTTCTATTTCTGTCATGACCATTAAGAGCTTTGCATTCTTGAAGGTTATATATTCCGCTAATAGTATGAAGAGTGTTACACACATAAAAAATTGAGTTTTAAAACTGCCAAAGATGATAAATGTTGAATAGACGTAGGGTTCCGTCCCATCCTTAATATAGCCCTGGTCGTCTCACGTTGCACTTATTTTAGCAACTGAAACCGAGATAATTGCACAGCAGACAGCACAAGAAGAACCGTTCTGCAAGGATGCATAGATCACGAGCGTAGATTTAGAGGAAAGAGTTCTGTCTGACTTTTAAAATATCCCATATGGACCACCCAAATCTTGGAGAGAGGCAAAAATTTCTTTGTAAAGCAGGTTTTCCTGTCCTCTGTCTGAGTGATGAGCATATTGACAGCTTGCTCATCCCCTTCAGATAATTTATGCTTATCTGGAATTTTGTGGGCGCAGTTTTACAAATATAATCAGCTTAGAATTTTGGCAACAAGTCCAGTCATATATTTTTCCCAGGAGTAAAATTATATGCAAATTTTAAACCCGGATTGATTTATTGATTTGGCACTCCCACATTTTTTAGTGGTGTGATAAAAATGATATATGAGCTGGCATTTATGTGCCATAAATAAGAAATAAAACGGTATTTCCATTCGAATAGTTGTCTCATTTTGAAATAATTAGGAGGAAAATCATACCATCTCTGAAGACGAAGAAAAGGTACGTATTTTTGGTCTGATTGATTGCGCAATCCATTCAAGAAATGAGACTAGGAGGAGAAGACGACAAAGTCAATTTCTGTCTGTCTGTCTGCTGCGTTCATATCATTATCCTTATTTTTCCACACTGCTGAACTCATTTTGTCATCGGATTTTAGCCTGATGCTGAAATGGATAGGATCTCATACGCAGTAACAACGAAACGAAACTGTGTGCATACATTGTGTTTATGATGTCTTTCACTGTTTTCGCCTGTGGTGATTTCCTCCTTTCATGGCAGGGAAAAGACGTTAGCTAGCACCACCAAAACTCAAAACCAAGTCAGGAAAGGGTGCATAACAGTGTTTTAGATATTAAGAATATTATGATGTCATGTGTGGTGGTGTGGCTTACAAGACTGCCTTGGTGTTTCCCGATGGTTTAACAACTCTCTCTCCCTTCTTTCCCCGTTGTTGTTATATCATTTATGGACATTATTATCGTCATCATCGAGTCATTTTATATTTACGATCATGAACACCGCAACGACCACCCAAAATGGAGACAACCTCACAATAGAAGGAGAACGGATAAATATACAAGAGAACAAGAAGGACAATGAGTGTCCATTTATCCGTTTCCTTGTAATATGAGTATGAAATCTATGCGTTCGTGGTGCTGGCAAAATAATATCCTTTCTTGCAATCCAATGAACCATGAACCAAATATACAAGCGTGCTTTCCCTTATTTTTGTGGGGAGTCAGTAAACGACGTGCCCCTCTTGCTGTGCTCATATGAGCGTATGTACTGCTTTCACTTGAATCACAATGTTTTGGGAGCACAAAAAATGATTAAAGTATGCAGAATGGTGCGAGTCATTACTTAAGAAGAGTGCAGTTGCAGAGAGAGATTACATACCATGCATTGTTGTGCTACAAACCATGATAACAGTGCAAACCCATTTTTTTACGTCAGTCCGTGTTGTTTTTTTTTCGTTCGTCTTTCTGTCCTGTTCTGTCCCATTCTTTGTTCAAGGGTGAGGTCAAGTAATCAAATATGTTGCATAAACGAGATTATGATTGTGGATGGGAGCTGCAGCCAAGTGACAAAATAAGGGTCAAGTCAAACTACCATTTTATCATCACGGGGGGAGGTTTTTACAACCACATTCCTAACACTCGCAGATTTTTCCTTTGTTTTCAAGATTGCATTTCTGTCTTGCTTTTTTCTATTATTTTTGCCCATGGTTCTTTCTTGTATAAGAATTGGATGGAAGGAAGAAGTCGTCTTGTCTGCCTCCTGAGGCTGGTGTATTTTGTTCTTTCGTGGGGGAAGGAGAGAGAAATTGAACTCATCCTTCAAATGGATTCCAGTTTTATAGCAGTCATTTAGGATTTAAGAAGACGAGAAACCAATTCGCAATTCGATTAGAAACACATGTCTGATTCTTTAGTTGAATAGGATGAGAACTGCAATATGTCATACTGGAATGCATTACAGTTTACACTGGAGAATAAGCCAATCCATGACCCAGATAATACCGGATACATAATCCCATTATTGCATTAAAATATATTAAACGTCTCTGCCATGTGCCGAATTATTTTGAATTATTAAACATAAAATGGAATATTTATTATTTTTATATCCAAGTTTTAATATTTCAATGAGATTTTGCATATTGCACTGACATGTGTGTAAAAGTAAATAATTCCACGTGGTTAGAAATCCAACGCCACTAAACTTTGATTGTCACCTTGGGTCGCATATTGAGACGGCATTAATCAAATTTCTTAAACACGTTGGATTCTCAACCCATATTCCATTATCGTTATTTCCCTCCACTTCCGTTGATGGATTTATGCACAACCAGTGAAACCTCTTTTTACATTAAATAATACGAATACGAATTCTCAACGAAATCCTGTCACTTTTATGACCACGAATACATGAGAGGAAATGGCTCGAGTACTTTGACTCATTCGACTCAATTTTCTTAAATGCGTGATATGAAATTCAAATATTTTAAGGTGATGAGGTTCATTAGGACATTATTCAATCTGACCCGACGTGGAAATGTTTTACAAGTATACTCAAATTTTCTATGATTTAATAAATATGCTATAAATGACGCTATTAAATATACAGCCTATAAAGCCGTCATATTTCATCGATAGCTTTACCCTCAATTTGTGGAAAGTCTAATATTCCTCAAACCTACAAATTCAACGGAATGACGTTTGAAGTGATATTTTCTAAATAAATTTTAAAATTCTATTAAACCTGTCAGCCAATAATGTGATACTTTTGCAAATCAGAACCTGCCCATGAATAACTCAACTTTAGAAGGAATTATGAATTCAAAAAGAGTTTAACATTTTTAGAGGTCCATTCACTTCCCAATAAAGTGAATCACTCGTTGACAGTTGCATCACAAGCGCAGGTTGGAATTTTTGGATGATCAACACGCAAAGAGAATACAGATCTACACGATGATGACTTAATGGTGGCATTCATACTGTAAAAATGGCAGAGTTACTAAACACAGCATGAGTAAAGTCGGTTGGTGAAGAATGGCAGAGAGCCATACGAAAGGAAGACATTTGCGGTTTAGAGTGGTGTGATGTTATTTATAGGCTTAGACCAGTTTGTTGGGTGTAGCAGAGTTAAAACAGCCCGGAAATGAGAACCGGAATTGAGGAAAGAGAGGAAAGAGCTCTCCACTTTCCTTTTTGTGAAATAATCTACCCAGCTTCTTTTGATGACCTCCTCCCTCCCTCGCAATTCATGTCAGTTAGTTATCCCCCATCCCGAGTCTTATATATTTTATGTATGACGAAACGCAAGAGTCGTCGAGTTACAGGACGTGGAAATAAATATGCATGTATTTTTTACCTGAGGCAATTAACGTTTGCGAAAATGTCGCGAGTAAAATGACAATAAGTAAAAGGCTGTGATAAGTTATGACAAAATTGTAATTATGTATTTTTTTCGCTAGGATGGGATGGGTCCACTAAAAGTAGTACCAGGAGGGATTCAGCTTCGTGGAGAAAGCATGGTGCTGGATAGCTTGATAGCTTCCAAAATCCGATCGCGGAGGAATCAACCTATTCATATTGAGTCATCCAAGAATATCAGTCTGATAGCGAGAGGGCCGGATGGTCGTGTTCTCAATAAACTATTCCTGGGTAAGTCATTTCTTACAATTTTACTGAAATGTTCAGGAGTGTGCAGATGACAAAGTAAAAAAAAACACCTGCAATGGATTTATATAAGCCCGAGCCAGTATTTGCACGTATTTGAGTAAATACATACATAACCGTACATACTTCTTGCAAATAATGTACCTGGTGTGATAATATGTGTCTGATTCATTTGTGTACACAAATTTTGTCTCACTTTCTGTGACCATTTCTAACTTTGGTGTAGTTTAACAAGAAAAATAACTTATTGGTCACTCAGTGGACTGATTTTCTAACTCTAAATCTACTCTAAATATAAACAATTCGGTCCGACAAGTCTCATGTGTACAGCCAACCGAACACACGATGGCTACATAAGCTCCTGGCTCGGTCTAAAAATGCATATTATGAAAACTGTGAAAATGAAGTTTGATAAAAAAAATGCTCGTCCTCGTCTGCACAAAAATCTTACACGGTTTAATTTTGGCTTGGCACACACAGGAGATGACAAACTCGAGTGTCAAGCGTCAGGGATGAAAATAACAGATACACGAGGTCGTCTCCTCTTCTCGGCGGATCGGAAAGAAGTTCTTGTTGGAGCTGAACTGCTTCGTGTCACAGGTTCGTTTCCTCTTTTCTTTTCCTCCCTCACAAATTTTGCAAATGACAACAGACGACGAGGACAGTAGTCAAAAGTGCGAGTAGATACGTCGTCAGTGACTGGGTGGGTTGGTTATCTTTGGTTGGAATGCAGTGAATGAATGCAAAAGCGGATGAAATTAAATTAGTGTGTCGCCAACAACCAAGACTCACTGTGCTGTTCTAATTTACCATGTCCAACTACTTATTTGCCTTATTAATGTCACATTAATTATTTGGAAATTCTTGTCAGAAACAAAGCTCATTTTGTTGGAGGAAGCAGGAGACCACGTTATATTCATATGGTGCTGATTTCAGATATACACGTTTTTCAGGAAATAACTCATATATGTAATGCAATGAGAGAGACTGGAAAAACTTTGGGTGCGTAGTTGTGCACAAGCTTGAGAAATGATACTTAGACATGATTCAGTGTTCTGGAGTGGAGTGCAGGAAGATCATAATCGAAAATGCATATTTTTATAATGTACGCACATAAATTTAGTGGAACGGCAAATGAAAATGATACGGGAAGTTGCAGTTAAACCTGATCTCACCATCCCCACATTTCTCACGCTGGTTGTAAACATACCTTTTCTCCCTCCTACGCAGCTTTCCCTGGATTTTGAGAATATGTGACTTGTCTGAAGAATACATAAGTATTCAAAACTGGCCATTAGATCATACATTGCATCCTTACTGCTGCACTTTGCCAACCCACCCCTTTCAATTCCACTTGTCCTTGGAAGAATTATTTTATGTGGGAACGGATATCATCATATGCATCCGGGATCATGGCTTTGTGTTGAAAAGCCCGATCCTTCTCTACAGAAGACGAGAAGATGGGGACGCAAACCTTGCGAATCGTACATTTCTTGAAGTTTGACACTAATTTCAACCCATTTCCTAAATTTTCTTCAATTTTCATCTCGCCCCCTATGTAAAATGCTTAAATCAGTATGCAGATTTTGGTGCACTATTGTATGTCAATAATAAAGTGGATTATAATGCAAATATAAGTTTGGTCCACATGACATGACCGTACAAATTTTGTGGATCTGCTAGATAGTCCGATGTGGTGGAGAAACAACACATAATAATTCATAATACTGTAGTACACACATGTCTGTTATTGTTCTATCAGTCCATTGTTCTCATTATTCGTCTTGTTCTTTGTCCTCAACAATGGAAATGAGCCTACTAATTCATTAATATCTCTCATGTTTCATTACAACTTCTCTGATTTCTTGCAGGGGAAGGGGGAGCCGTTTTCCATGGCTCGGTTCAAACTCCACTCGTCCGAGCAGGTAAAATGAATATATCTCATTCTTATTTTACAATCATTTATTTCAATAATTTGTACATTTTTATAAATTTATCTGAAACGGGCATTTAAATAAGTAAAATTGGGATTAAATTTCACTTTAACAAAAAGATAGTGTAAAACTAATGCACATAGTTAAATGTCTGGAACTCGCAAATATTTCTTCACTGGATCCCAATTAATGGCAGAAATATCCAAGGTTTTTTCTAATTTAAGAAATTTCTAATTGCAGAATCTGGAAATGAACTGAGGTATGTAATTTACATCGTGAATGACCGTCTGATGTAAATATTGCTTTGCTAATTTGCTTAGTAAAAACTTTGCTATTTTGGCCCTTAATGATTATTTAAGATGTCAGCACACAAATTTTTTTAGTACGAAATTTGACTAAAATGTTCTAAAAATTTCGTGAGGAATCAGTCCCCTCCCTTCTACATCCTGCTGTCATTACGTAACACTCGTTTGTTCCGATTTTTTGAACGCGTGAGAACTCAATTCCCCAGTAACAGGACAGCTTTTTTGTCATCCTACATTTATTTATCCATGCATTGTTTGTTGTTCAGCACACATCAGAAGAGTTGAACATGCTTTGTCCCCGTCCTATGCACCTCACTTGACTGTCTCACTTTTTGACTGAGGTGGTGTTACTTGACAAGAAGAGAGAGAGAGTCAAATGCTAATAGTGCCATTAATCATCTCCTTTCCCATCACTTTCTCCTCCTCCGCATGCATTCGTCCGCTTATTTACTACTTTGTCTCGTTGTTAGTTAGTTGCTGATTGACAACTGGCTGCCAACTGCAAATGTTTTGACTGCTTTTGACTTAACGAGAGAAAGTGGTGACGCAGTAGTGTAACAGCAGTTACATGTGTATGTTTAGAATTTTTGAAAAATGGTCAATGTGGTGCATTTTTTTGCACTTGCTGTATTTGACAATGAAAAGATGATTCAAAATTTCGATATTTTTCAGGTTGGAGTCTCCAACGAGAAATTTAGAAGTTTTTGCAACTCATGGGATAGGAATCGATTCCTTAGCTGGAGACATTAGTGCGACTTGCCTTGCAGACCTTAAACTACAATCCACAGAAGGATCTGTGAGTATTTTGAAGATTTTTAAACTTTCACTTGAATTTGTTTGTACTTATCGCATTCATTGCGGGGCAATATTAAATATGTAACTGAGTAATTGACATGATAACCACAGGTTCGGATGGACGCTCCAAACATTTACATGCCAAAACTACAAACAGCAACATTGACAAGTGCCAAGCTGCCCACGGCTGGAACTCCGGTCTACAACCCTTCCACAATTAAGAGGACTGGGAGTCCTGAAGTTTATCAAGTTTGTGTTTGCGGTAAAGGGAGATTATTCCTGGCTCCTCCGGACGGACCTTGTGTCGCAGACAATGACGTTTGTCGATGATCTAATGGAAATTAAGGCGCAAGATAAAATATGTATCAAGAAAATTGTATCATGGCTAGATTTGTTTCTGGGAAAAAAGTGCGTGAAGATAACGCAGGATAAAAATGCGTGTTTATAATGTGCAACAAGGGAAAGTGAATGACAATCCACGACCAAAATTGACAATGATCAATCTCTCATCAGTTAGACTACTATGATTCAACATTCTTCCTGGTGGTGATGTGTTGGCTCACTTTTTCTGAAATCTACTAAAATATGAGGGGCCTGGCAGATGCAAAAATAAACCAGACGCCTTCAAACAAAAGTTTTTTCTCTCAACAAATGAAGCAGCCATAAAGAAAGAAAGATACACGTTGATCGACTTCCAACTTTAAGTTCCAAAGTTTTTTTATGAAATGAAAATAGTTTAAATTTTATTACCTCCCTCAACACACGTACAATTACTGCTAATGTGACTGAGGACACGACGCAAGTACATAAGTGAGCAGTTTCAATTCACTTTGTGGTGTCGTTTTTATAGGTGACACCGAGGTCTAGCACGACTGGAATTCCTCCCTTGTTCTTTTAAACTACTTATGCTACATAAATCCGAAAGCTTGTCGTGAGAGTGAATATTGTAAGATACTGAATTATCAAGGACAACTTCAAGAGTGAAAACGGATTATACGTCGAAATACGTACGTACTCGAACTAAGATGAGAGGCGATGAGAAACAAACCTTCGAAACTTAACCATTATCCTATCAACGCAATTAATACATACATAACTCTACTTGTAAGCTAAATATATAGACCACAAATCATCAATTTTAGATATAAAAATACTACATAAGGGAAATATAAGACATTTGGATACATTACAAAAAAATGTATGTAAGTATTTAGTTGAGTAATGATATTTACCAACCAATGACTGGAGCATTAAAATATTGAATTTTTACACAGTTTTTCGCAATCTTGTAATTATTTGGGTATGCAAATTACTTATTGCAAGTCTACAAATTCAAATCATGCGATACATAAATTTTTAAATGACGGGGAGACTTTTACGAACTCCAACTGAGACTATCCAATTGTGTGGAAAATCCTTATAGTCGTCGTCGTCGTCATTCCATTCCGCCAAGCCACCAACCCGTCCACACTGCACTATAATCAAGAGTGGTGGATGATTGTTTGCATAATGTGTGAAATCCAAACCCACCACTAAAATATGTATAAATGATCATTGTGTTTGGATTACAAAGCGATTTGTTCAAGTGTTGAAATTGTGGAGTTCATTTATTTGAACCAAGTCCATAAATTAGAGTTCGTGGGTGACAGATTGCAGATTGGAAGTGTCTCATTTATTCCAGTCCTTGTCGCCTTCCTCGCCCTTAATCCCTTGATATTAGGAGGTCCCACCGACTTGCTTTCTCTTCACCTTTTCCTTCATCCAGCACTGCAAAACCTCCTCAAATCAAACTCTGCTTGTTGCTAACTACTTGCCCACCACAGGCAGAAGATCCCTGAGGAGCTCTCTTGGTCACTCCATTAATTCAGTCCTGAATTATTACGTGTTGACCGGTATCCAGACACTCGGCTCAAGATTAGATACTGGTATTGCTGCTCATGCACATGCACACAAGGCACGCAAGAAGAGCCAATTTACATATTTAGTTGCTGACATCTGATGTGATTAATATATTAATGTTTATCAATATTTAACTATTGCGTCATGTACTTGGATTTGTGGAGGGGATACGGATTAATAATAGTGGGCATTCATCCCCACCAGCATTTGCAGCCTCAGGTTTTTCATCTACTAACATTTAGCATCATAATAGATTGCATTTGACATGAAAAGAAATTTGTAGCCGAATAGTCGATTTGTCATGATTGTGTTTGAACATGTACATATGCAGTAATTTTATCAAGGCCAATAGCGAAGATTCCTAGAAAAATTCCTTGGTCTGTTTATGGACCCTTTGCTCAGCTGCGTTTTTCCTTATGGTTATGTCGAAATGCATAAGTGTGTAGAGCTGAATTCTACAAACTGTAATTTCAGCTAATTTTGCTCAGCATATACAATGAAAAACTCAGTATGGGCTAGAAATGTGTAATTCATTGAATGCGAGAAAATGGGAAAGTAGCAATAGGGTGTCCCAACTTTGTAAAAAAAATCGCTTTTTCCGCTCACGATTTTTTCGCTCTTTTTGTAAACCGCACTGCGCAAGCGATTCCGATCTTTTTTCCGCTTTTTCTGCTCAAAAATAAAATCTACTTTAAGATGATTTTTTCGCTCTTTTTACTACTTTGAGTGAAAAATCAGTCTCTCAGAGACATGTTTAAGGGGACATCGCCCGATTTTGATGCCCTATGGAATATATTGCAATATCAGGTGAGTGTATGAAAAGTGAGGGAGGATTTTATTCCATTGCCCCACCTGCGCCCGCCACACCCCCTGAAAAGCATTGCAACCACTAAAACTACCGCATTCAAACCTTTGCCAAAAATCCTATTTTCATCCCATTTTGGTAATTTTTGGATTTACATGATCTTAGATAGTTGTTTTATCATATCCAACATGAAGCAAATTTAAATTTTAAAAGAAACTCGAAAGTTTCCTGACCACCCATTCTCTGCTCCTGAGTATTCAAGCGATAAAAAATCGGGACAGTCAAGTATTGAGCGAAAAAAGCGGATTTCAGATTTTTTAGCTTTTCGCTTTTTCAGATCTTTTTTACAAACTTGGGAGACCCTAATCTTGAACTTACGCATCAGAAGGCGAATTCAACAACCAAGAGGAATTTTCATTACTTGGCCTTGTAAAATTTATTGTCGTATGCATCCATTAGTCCATTATGTTATGCAGTGGATTTGAAGCAGCGGATTCAGTTTCATTCCAATTTGAAAATTGACACGATCTCAATTTCGTGATGAACATAGGGGTTCATCCGACCCATTAACATTGGAGAACATTAAATCATGCAAGAAAAAGATTTTAAAGGGCATAGATTTTACATTTTGTTTGATTAATTGTGCAGGAGATGTAGTAATATTAAGTCGTATTTAATAATCTTTACGTGTCTTAAGCTGTACGGAAAAAGTAAAAGTTTCCAATGTTAAAAGGGCAACGCAATGAGGCGTATGGTAAAAAAATAGGGTAGAATATATAATATATTAATGTGCGTGTCATATTTCTACTGCAACCAGAGAAAGCACGTCCCTTTATTTTACGTACCTCATAACCCGTGTTGTAAGTTGTACCTTGCAACTTGTGCATGCCAATTATATTTCTACCTAGGTATTTTATCGCAAAAAATGGCTCATTTTGCACAATGATTTCACATTGCATTTCACATTGCTAACATTTTTGCAAAGAAGGAAAAATAGGGAGAAAGAGAAAGTTGTATCCTGTTGTTAAATTGTACAAACTAGATATATTAGGGGAACAGATTGGCTGGCTTTTGGCGTTAAATTTTTAACGGAGCAATTATAGCCACCCTTTTTCGTGTCTTTTCTGCAAGTATCTAACTCACTCAGAAACAAAAATTACTGTCATCTTAAGAAGGTGACTGACTTTCAGAATCATCCAAAATTTATCGCCCTCCTCGCTCCCAGAGGATACAACCGCTAACATCCGCCGCAGCATAAAAAAATTGTGGGGAATGGAGAATGGAGATTGTGTCCAGCCAGCAATTTTTAAGGGAATCGGATTCACTTCATAATGTCAACTTATTGTGTTTCCCTCTGACATCTGATTAATATTTGATGTCACTTTCTCCTCACAGATAAAAGCGTCAACACACACAACCCAAAACCACATAGTCCACTTAGACGTCCATCTATGTATCCAACAACTTTCTCCAGGTATCACACTAAACAAGACGGAAATTTCTGATACGAAAAATCCTTTTATTAATATATCCTCAAGATTTTAGTATTTTTGGGAAGTGGTGGGTGGTGCACGGAAGCACAAAAATAGCATGAAAGCGAATAAATGCAGATAATAATAAGTATTAGCAAAACATTATTACATGAACTTCTTTTTTGCGATTCCATATGAATATCGGATTGTGCCACACAATAAAGTAAAACGAGAATTACATTTGCCACATCAGTGTTGGTGTGGAAAAAAGATGACCCCAAAATGCACCCCTTCCGCCCTGTTATTACTACTTCTAATCATCGTTTCTCCACTTGATTACATACACTTCCTTACAACATGGCCATACTTTTTTACTATTATACTACTGACTTTACCTTTCGAGATAAGGCTGGCCCCTGCCAAAAATGAATGTGGTCATGAAATCCTGGTTCCGTAGTAATTCTGTAATATGACATGATACGAGTTGATGGTGGAAAATACCTCACCTTGCATTTCTCTTACGGACTATGGGTGACAGGCAGGAGCTCAGAAGACGTGCAACTGGGGCTGAGACAGTGACAAAACGAAGAATAACTGGACTTTTGCGACCCGGACGCCAACCTTTTTCTCATCTTTCACTCTCTCACCCAGCAGCCTTTCTCCCTTGCAGGTTGGTTGGCAAGCTTTCCCTCATCATTTCATTTGTGGCTGGATGGGTGTCCATGATTTGTTATACTTTCCTTTGTTAATCTCATGATATTTCCACTTGGTTGGTGATTACTGTGTTCTGATATGAAATGACTTCGGTTTTCTTGACCACGGAGAACGAGTAAAATGCGACCATCACGATGATATCGACGCAATACCACAAAGAGTCATTCGAGGGCACGTCGCTTTGCCAGTCAGGCTGAGCAGGAGAGGAAATATGAGATTAGGAATAAAATGGACGAGAGAATAACAAATACTGGTCAGTGGTCGTAATAGTTAAGTAGATCATAATGGTCAGTGGTCTTATCCATGTCCCGAGACACCGTATAAATCGTACTCCCCAAACCCTCTACCGAGTAATGCTACGGTTTAATTTTAATTAATTTGAAATTTCTTGCACACGTTCATATAACGAGAACGACATGCAAAATAATTCAGAATGGCCTTCCGCCTACTCATATATGTTGCAGTTGAATGTATTCAGCTTTGATGAGAAAGAAATAAAATAAGGAGACAAAACCTTGTTAATAAATTACCACACCCAATTTAAAAAATTTATTTTTCATTCTTTGTAACTTGTTTTCATCCATACATGCATTAGATAACAAAAAGAACCTAGGTTGATTTGCATCAGTAGTAATGGAATTGTCGATTTTTTTATTCTTCTTAGGCAGAATAGAGTATTTTCTTAGTCTTCCAAGAAAAAGTACTGTCCAGCTCTCTTTTGTTCCGAATCTTTGACGGATTCTAATTTATTGATTCTTGGTCTATAATTATTTGGATCTCTCCTAAATGTAATTCCCAAGAGCTCCAAGAATTTATTCATTCCTATTAATAGACTTTGGGGACTATTTGCAAGCGTTTCTATTGAAGGAGCACCCTCAAACACGATCACACGGTCGGCAAGATATGTGGCCATTATAAAATCGTGCTCCACAACAAATCCTGTCTTCTTCGCATGGAGAATAAACCTGAATATCAAATTTTTAAGCAAATTATTACCAAATTCTCAGTTGCATAGACTTGGAAATAATATATATATATCACTCCTCGTACCGTTTTATAACTTTTGCAGCAACTAAACGTTGCTCAGAATCCAAATATGCAGATGGTTCGTCAATCAAGTACACATCGGCAGGTTTCCCTAAACAGAGTGCCAAAGCAATTCTTTGCAATTCACCACCAGAGAGTGTTTGCACTTCGTGGTCAATAACGTCATCAATTTTTAAGGGCTTCATCACATCGGTGATAAACTGTAAAAAATTAGTTTTGAAAACTGAATACGAGAATGTTACTAATTAACTATTTAACGAAAGAATTTTTACATACTTGAGGATGGATGTACGCATCTCTAATCTTTTCATGAAGAAGCTGTCGAACTGTTCCAACGGATTTTGGGCTAATTTTCTGCGGCTTGTAACTCACATGCAATGTTGGTACGTTTGCTATTGTAAATATAAAAAGTTAATTAAATAAAACATTCTATCTAAACGAAGGTTACATGATTATTTACTAATACGTTAATAGTAACTCTTACATGATCCTGCATCTGGTTGGAGCTTGCCAGCCAACATTCTAATAAATGTTGTTTTTCCTGTTCCATTTTCTCCCAGCATTACAAGGATTTCAGAATCCGTAAATTGTCCCATTTTGATATCAAGCTTGAAAGTCCCCATGGTTTTAGACATATCTGGATACTCATATCGGGCCATTCGTTTTGCTTCTTCCTCGTTCGCAGATTCAGCAACCTTAAACACCAGAGCATCCTCACGGAACCTCAAGTTCTCGGTTGGAACAAACCCATCCAAGAAAATGTTGATCCCTAAAGAGAGATTTTGCACATTGTAATTTAATTTTTAACTTATTACACAAGACTTAATTTTATTCCAAAACCTTCACGAACTGAAAACGGCATCGTTACAACTCCATAAGCACCAGCCACTCCGTAAAGGACGCAAATGAAGTCAGACAAATAATCCAGAACAGATAAATCGTGCTCCACGACGATAACATATCTGTCAAAAATTATGTCACAATTATGTCGTACATTTTTCGAAACTAAAGTGTAATTAAGGAAAATCTAATGTCTCTCTACCTGTCAGATCCCAAAAGCGATCTAATTGCCAAAGCAGCGTTCAAGCGCTGTTTTACGTCCAAATAACTAGACGGCTCATCAAACATGAAGACATCTGCTTTCTGAACACAGACCATTGCAATAGCAAAACGCTGAAGTTCTCCTCCAGACAAATCAGCAATGCTTCGGTCAACGACGTTTCGTAAATCTGCAACACAAATTACATAGCATTTTTTCATATCATAGGTGTATGCTTTTATCAAGACAAAACAGTAAAATTGTTACAATAAACCCCATACCAAGTTGATCTAGTGTTTGTTCTAGATTTTCTGCTTCTGCCTTCTTCGTCAACATTTCCTGCACCATTCCTTTCACAGCTTTCGGGATTTGGTCGACATACTGCGGTTTAATCAAGGCCTTCAAGTTATCCTCCAAAATTCTTGTGAAGTAGTTTTGTAACTCGGATCCTCGAAAATAAGCCAAAATCTCTGTCCAATCTGGAGGGTCCTGCAACATTTAATTTTCATTATCACACACCTCTCCTTGATTTTACTTTAAAAAGTAATTTAAAATCAATGCGCGCACCGAAAATCGTCCTAAATTTGGTTTCAATTTGGCCGCAAGAATCTTCAAAGCTGTGGATTTTCCTATCCCGTTCGTACCCACGAGCCCCAACACCTCCCCTGGTCTCGGTGTTGGCAATCTATGTAGCTTAAAAGAATTTTGTGAATACCGATGCGTCGTGTCTCGCTCCAAATTGCTGGGAAGATTGATAATATTGATGGCTTCGAATGGGCATTTCTAAAAAAAACAAATGAATACATGATAACCTACATATGCAAATCATTCCTATAAATTAACCTAGATTGCTCCTGCTGACCTACCTTCACACAAATACCGCACCCGATACAAAGTTCTTCTGAAATCTTGGCAATTTTATCCGTGGGGATCACCTCGATGCACAATTTTCCCATCCTGACGACCGGACAGCTCTTTTTGCACTCTTGCCGGCATCTCTTCGGTTTGCACTTATCCGAATTGACGATAGCAATTCGAGTCTGCTTATCCGTCTCCTCATTAGCCCTCGGCTTAGGCATCTTGCTCCCTAATTATATACGACAGGATTATAAAAATCACCTGCCCATTACACATATTTCACGTCACTACCACCTTTCATTATCCTATCTTTTTCCTTCCGTATGTTTCCTATTCCTGAGGTGCTAGAATTCTTACAAAAAGATTTGTAAAAGTTTACCTGACGTTTGATACGTACGTTCGTTGATGGACCTTCCTCTGTCCTCCTTGTGTAATTTTTCAACTATGAAATCCTTCACCCTAAAATTGATACGCGGACCAATTAAATCCTTAAAAATCAATTGACCAAGTTGCTTAACTTTCAACTTTCAATTCAACTTATTTTGTAACAGCAGTTTTGAGTGTATAATAGTTCCACGAGGAGAATTGAGCCGGATTGGACCGCCAGTAAAAAGATGTCTCTCCACTCCTATCCCAATCCTCAATGGCTGATTGCGAGTAAGAGGTTGTCGCATGCAAAATATTGAGTGACTTTTTTAGTTGTGATCATTCTCATCAAATTAAAGTGTACGTTAGATAAGCCTGTTGCTTAGATGAAGTGTAGAGATGATGTATGTGCGTGAATAAACGATAGTAATTTCGCAATGTTTTGGTACTGGTAAATACTTCCCTGTGAATATATCCAGCTTTTTTTTAAACTATACTTTAGCTTACTATTAGCATAAGCAATTTACATAGTTTTTGACTTCTCCTGGAAAATTTATAACGATCAGAACGGGACTTGATGATATATAATACAGCATATACGTATAGACGAAGGTCCATGCCAAATTTTGCATGAAACTAAAAATTTCGCCTTTATGTATTATCAACCGAAAGTATTGTCGGGGTGACCAGTGTGGTTTGGATTTGCATTTCACACATATTGTATTTCTTGTGAACACAACCTTTTGAAGATTTGGTTATTTTAAATTCGTGGTTACTCCAAGAACCCATTTCTCTGGACCACAATAAGGTGCAAAGCTGATTCTATAAAAATATTTATGAAGGGAACTCGAAGGATAGGTATGTATGTATATGAGGATTGATTGTAGAAATGAAAATGAAATGTAGTCATCGTTCTCTTCTACATACTAGGGTTTAAAATGTGCAATTTATTTTTGCATACTGACATAATGCTTTGTTTGCAACCAGCTAACTCTGTGTTGCCTTCTCCAGTTCGCTGGAACCCGTATCGCTTTTACTTTTCTGTCGGCATTCCAAGCTCTTGTTGGTGTTCTGTCTCGATGTAAAAACAATAAGGTGATTACATTTGTGATTGATTATCAAGTAATCTCAATTAATTGTGCCTTGTTGTAAAGACACGTGAGTTCAAATAGAGGTGTGTGCTTGACTTTTGGGGAAATTAATACATGCTATCAGGCCAACTTTTAATAGGTGAGAAAAACTTTTATATTCATATAATTAATTTTCTTAGAAAAGTTTTCTATTTTTCTCATTTACTTGCATATGTCAGGGAAGTATATGCAGGACACATTCTATGTTGTCAACATTTTAAGTGATATTTGTCAAACATCTTGTTATTAAGGGGTGAAAGCCTTTTATAAGCTCGTTATCTCTGTCTGTATATCTGTCCGATAAATAAAGAACGGATGCAAATTTGGAGATGCGGTTTTTTGCATACATGTTTCTGTAATTTTTAGTGGGAACTATAAACCAATATAAATTAACTGTCTCACCCATTCTCCGCTGAGGGGGTGTGGAATTGGGGGAAAATGAGAAAATACTGTGATACATGTCAATTTTAACATGTTTTTAACTCTAAAAAAGAATATGATACCCGTTTTGGCCTGCGACACCTCAGTTATTTTGACTTACTACACACTGCTTTGACCCCTTTGGTGCAATGCGTTGTAACGGTTTAGTTCCACTGTTTTTACTTGTACGTGTTAAATTAATTTTAGTTTTGCATAATTCAAAAATAAACTCTACTACCGAAAACAAGTTTTCATGTCAGTTTTCCCGTAAAAATCGAAAGTATGTTCAATCGTAAAACAAAAAGACGTCCTACAGGGTATTTTTTCTGGAAACATACACTAAAATTGTTTGCATGGAAAAATATGTATGTATGCAGCAGTAAAAGTTTTCCCTAATTTTATTTCCATGTTTTTTTGCTGGGTGTTCTGGTGCAAAAGCGTACATATTATGTAAGCGTAGTTGTGTAATAATAATGCGTTGACATGAGATGTGACGACGAGGTGACAGTGACAATGACAAGGGCCGAGATTGAGTAATGAGGATTTTATTGTTGATTGCCGAGATGAGAGAATGCAGACTACACGATGAGGAGGAGGACGACGACGACGACCTTTTTTATTCTAATAAGGGTCCACCAATTCACTTCTTTTGTCCTCTGCATAATACTCGCTCGGTCGATTGGGTCAAATTCGGGTCGCTTTCCTCTGACATGGGATCATCATTCCTGATCCTGCTTTATTATTTTAACAACTGATCTCTCTTCAGAATTGTATGTTTTATGTGCATGGGAAGCACTACTTTGCATCTCGTCTCCTCTTTGCACTTTATGGCCAGCAGTATGTAGGAGAACACTTGATGTAAAATAAAATTGGGGTTCTTTGCAGAAAAAATCATGGCATGGGTGGACGGACGGACGATGGGTTGTGTTGAATAATGGGCAATACTCCATGTTTGATGAGACGGAAGGAGAAGGACCATAAATTATTATTTGGAGCTATCTGAACCCAGTATCACTATCACTTTTATTTTATGATAACTCGCCATTGTGAAGGAAGAACAGGGACACGATGCATTATTCCTATAAAATAAAATACATGCATTATTATAAGCGTGCATGATTGCCTGGTGCTGAAGGGTGATTGCTGCATGTGGAGGATGGGGCAAAAGGGATGATGATGAAGTAAATGGCAAAAAGCGAAACTAAAGTTGGTAGGAATCAGTTTTATCCCTAAAAATATAAATGTCCGGTGGTTCATTCCTTCAACCATCCATATCCTGATCCAGACAGAATTGTTATGGGAAGAACTATATGGAATAAGTTAATAACTTTTGTGATTCGTTACTATTTTTTCCTTTAATCGTCAGCCCTATATTTTTCTGAATTTAACATGCATGTACATGCTCAAGTTCTTACAAGGGATGGTTCCCAATTGTATATTGAGTTAAGGGCCCTAGATGAAGCATTCATTCACATTTCCGTCTAAATCTTATTTTTTTATCTATTTCAAACTTCTAAAGTTTATGTGAGATTTTCAAAATTTTGAAATTAAAATGATTACACGAATCTAGATTTTATGAAATAAATGAACAATGAGAAATTTGCATAAATTTTTGTAACCCCATTTTTAAGAAAATCTCAAAATGAAAAAAAATGAAAAGTTAATTTTACTTTCGTGTGAAGATTCAATTTTTCCTGATTATTTTCACAACAATTTTCCAAATCCATCCATGATTTCAAAAGTTATGGCAGTTTCATAATAAATTCATGCGAATTTGGTGCCACGCCATGGCCTCAAGTATGAGTTTTAAACGAAAATATGAATGAATCCTTCATATATGGCCCTTGTATCATTTCTTTTTAAAACGTAGTGGGTACCCTGAACTCGATAAGCAGTCGGGAACGTTCTCTTGTATGCTGTTCGCACAATGCAGAGCAAATACGGATCGTGGTGCGTATCTCTCTATCATTATATTTATATTGTTGAAAAGAGAGATGTAAATGATTGAATGAACACGATTAGAAACGGTTGATCCCGAAGATTTGATTTGAATTTTTGCTCATTTGAAAGAATCGTGTGTGGCGTGTTGTCCATATGTACATACATACATGCAGTATGGTTAGAGTGATAAGGCAGTGTGTGTATTAGAGAAAACCCTAAAATGTTAATTTTCTGTCTTTCCACCTTTTAAAGGGACAAAGAAGGTCAGTTGCCCGTGTTTTTCGTTCGTTGCTCTGTGGAATTCAGTTTTGCAAACGTGTGAAGAAAATTGGCTTTATGTAAAAGTGGTGGAAGCATCAAACTCTGGAGAATGTGAGAAGAATATATATGTGAGCGAGTTGTTGATTTATCTGATTTCGTGATTTGCTCAAGGAGGAAAGGAATTTTTGTCAAAGTGTGCATAATATTTAAAGGGTATGAATTCGTTGGATTGACCAGGAGAACTTGGTCTCATAATTTTTTTTCCGCCTGCGAGTCCTTCCCCGATTTCCTATCACTACTAAGACTGCTTGCGTAATAATGTAAAAAAATAATAATCCGAGTGTTTCGAAACGCTTGTGTGGGTCTCCTACTACTACCCCGTTATTCGGGAGGATTGTGATGGAGAGGATTGTGGTAGGGACATCTGGTTGCTGGGTAACTGCTAAAAGCAACATCCATGGGCATTGGCTCTCGTCGTCGTCGTAGGGGTTAAACATCTTTGAGTGTGCAATAGCTGGACTAAGTGGTCCAACTCGCAATATCCAGTGACTGACTGATTTCCACCACCACCGAGGAGAGGAAGAGGAAGGGGAGAAAACTGGAAAGAACTGTTTTTTGTTACATCTTCGAGATGCACTTTCCATCCATTACTTACCATCATCATATTATATATAACGGTACGCAAGCTAACCCTCCGAGTTCTAACCCTAGCAAAAATTTCCCACTTGCACCAACCACCCAGCCTCACGATTTTGATTTTCCTTCCTCGTCCTCGCCTCCGTCTTTCTCTTTCTCCACGAATGGAACATTAAAGGGAAATTCCTTGAGGGGTTGGTTATACATTACCAAATTGTCTCTCTGCTTTCTACGTCCTTGTTTCCTGCTTGGTTGGGGTGACCAGCAGCAGAAGCCGTACTAGCAAAGCTCTCTCTCTCTCTTTCCATGAGTGTGAGTGGCACAAGTTTTTTTTAGAAACTTTTAGAGATTTCCCTGAAGTAGACCCAGCAAAACAAGCGAAACTACCCCCAGCAGCAAAAATGAAGGGTGGTTGTGGTAGCATATAGGGTCGTACTTGCGTCGCCGTCGTCAGCTCCTAAATACCACTTATGGATGAATGCATGCAAAAATGTCCCTTAAATTCAATAAGTTCCCAAAAACCTGAGAGACCCATAATAACCTAACCAACCAACCAGTCAACCTATTCCTTTATACATCATCCTTCTCCTAAATCCTTGCACAACTCGTAAATTTTTAGGCAAGGCTGAGCAAATACTCGATCCATGATAAATCCAAAACAGCCCTCTTTGGTTTTTCTACAACCACTTCTCTCCTTTTTCCGTACCTTTTTCTACATCTCTGCTGAATCCTATCCTGTTATGTCATATAAATATATAACTAACGACCGAGCGAGGCTGGATGTTGGTAAAAATGGAGGAAAAGGCCGTCTTCTCTTCTGGTAGGAATCAGAGTCAACAAAGAGAAAAAAGTAATCAGTTGCTCGTCTGCCCCTGTGTTGTCATCTCCTCTTCTCTCCGCTCCTGCTCTACCCCAACATCCTCCTCAAACCTTATCCCCATTCTACGCACTTCACTTTATCAACGTACAAATATTTAACCAGTTTTACTTATCATACGATATTCTTCCTCTCCTACTCCTCCTCCTCCTCCTGCCAAGAGATAGTTGTTACACTGGTCAGTTTTTCCTCACTGGTGACGACATTATTCCTCTGTTATCCTAGTTGCGTGCGTCGTCGTCTTGGAAGAAGAAGAAGAATCTTGGTGTGATCAAGTGAGTGCAAGTGAGACGATTCCGTGGAGTCTGTAAAGCAGTTGGATTTTCTTTGGACGGTGATGAGACATCAAAAAGTGCGTAAAATAATTTGTTAATCTTCTGCTCTGTGGGATTGGAAGTATTGGAGTCTGGATTTTTTTTGGTTCTGGATTGCGTAAAAAACAAGTAAGTTATTATTGTGTATTTTTTTGATTAGTCATAATTATGTTTTTGGGTGAGAGAATGCAGGCTGGATGGATGGAGAGAGGCAATGCATATACAAATAATAATAGAGGAAGGGAAGAAGAGAGAGTTGACGGTCAAGGTTTTTGAGTTAACAAGGCCAAGGTGGTTGTGGCGTAAGTTGCATATTATGGTAGGAAGTAGGATTTCTGCTGGATGAAGGCAATGGCAGAAGAGTCGTAAAAGAAGGTGAAAAGGAGTAAAATGAAGCAAAACCTCAAAAACCCATTCTTTGTGCCCATTTAACCTTTTCTGAATAATCTTGAACCTTTCCTTGAATGAACTGTTGCTTTGAGGAGAGAAAAGGAAAAGAGGAGAAGGGATTATGATGAAATAAGGCCTTTTTAGCTGAAACCTTATTACTTACTTGTTGTGCCGTACTTCCACCAAAACCTGCAAAAGGATAGACATTTTCAGCAGCATCTGTGTCAGTCATCAGCTCAGCATAAAAACACAATAATACGCTTGGGTTAAACAATTTTTAAAAAGATTTCGCTTTTCCAACGGATCCATGCATCCCTTCTTCTCCTCTTATTCTCTTATTCTTCTCTCTCTACTTTAAAGAAACTGGCCAACCATGCACAATTGGAAATTTCTTGGATGATGAAAATGTGAGGAGGCATATTTTTTTAAAGAGGACCCGTTGTTCTATTTGGTTTCTTTAGAGGCAACAAGAATAGGTGGTGATCATCTTCCCTATTCTACCGTCTGGTCAGTCTGGCCGCAACGGCCGTGACGATGAAGGAGATGACGATGCGAGGAGATGGTGGCGGAGAAACTGCACATCATCACCCTCACGCCATGGGGCCAGATAAGATGATGCATGACCAAGAATTGCAACACTTGGTGACCTCCAGCATCCCTTCGCCACCATTCTCAGGTCTTCAGCTAATCAACACCTCGCAAGGCATCACAGTATTAGATCCCTTCTACTCGGCCCACCTTCTCGCCAGCCTCGCCGCCGCCAATCCAGGGACCAGATTCCAACTTCCTATCCCACTGCCCATCAGCGTCCCCAACTCCGCTCCACGACTTTGCACTTACTCCCCCACACTGCCTGTTAACGGACTTACGACGCTGACTTCGATGCCCACCACACAACTGGACATCCTCTCCTCCTGGGTAAATGAAGAGAACAACAACAAGAACAACGAGAATAATAATAGGCAGAGGAAAATCTCCGGAAATCGGGTCGTCTCCAGCATCAATAACCTTTCCCTCAACAACAATAACATCACTAGCAGCAAGAATAAGAAGAATAACAAGGCAAACAGTAGTAATAATACCAGGCAGAGAAAAGTGTCCGAAAATCGAGTAGTTTCCACTACTATTGATATCAACATCAGTCCCACTAATAATAACGTGACGAATAACAAGAACAAAAAGAACAAGAGTAATAATTCCTCTCAACAACAGCAGCAGCAGCAACAGCACCAAGACAGTGTTTCAAACCAACAGCAACAATCAAATCAGCAGCAGCAATCTCGAGATAAGGTGTTCACTTGTCCCATCTGCGCCCGATGCTTTGGCTACAAACACGTCCTACAAAATCATGAGCGCACTCATACAGGGGAAAAGCCCTACTTTTGCAAAATCTGCAACAAACGGTTCACCCGAGATCATCATCTGAAAACACATATGCGTCTTCACACGGGTGAAAAGCCGTACAATTGTACCCATTGTGACAAGCAGTTTGTTCAAGTGGCCAATCTCCGTCGCCACTTGAGGGTCCACACGGGAGAAAGGCCATACTCTTGTGAACTGTGCGACTCGAGATTTTCCGATTCCAACCAACTCAAGGCTCACATGCTCATTCATAAAGGACAAAAGCCATACTATTGTGAAGTCTGTACGATGCGATTCCGTCGTCGCCACCATCTCACGCAGCACAAATGTGTCAAGAACAGCGAGGGCTTCCCGTTCCCCCACTCACCTCCGGACATCTCCCCTCCAACCTCCAATAATAACAACAATAATAGCAAGCAGCGAGAACGCAAATCAAGGGAGACTAGACGGATCATCCGGGTAGCTGGACTTCCTGTTGCGACTGCGGTCACTTCAGGGCTGGAAGAATTGGACGATTCCTTCATGTCCGCCTTGCCGGAGCAGACCCAACCTGAAGATTTGAGCGTGGGTTCTTCCGGGGGGAGTACGCTTGGGGGGAGGAATAGGAATTTTAGCGGAAGTGGGTGTGGGAGTCATTCCAGCGTCAGTGGGTCTCCTAGTCCGAGTGGAGGGTCGCGAGGGTCTCTGGGCCCGTATTGTCACTCCGTGTCCAGCAATGAGCACATAGAATACGACTATAGCGACGAGGAGAAGAGTGGAACTGCAGACAGCAGCACGGGAAAGAATGACTCAGACGAACATCCATCCCCGTCCCAGGGGTGAAAGGTAATAAGATCAACATAACATTCACATCTGAGGCAGCGAGGAGAAAGAAAGAAGGGAAAGTTGTCCATACAATAGTACTCTCCTCTCTGTCTCACTATTTAATGTGTATATTTGTGCGTGAGGCAATGTCCAAAACTTACTTGGTCTCGATTTTCCCCTTTCCAGCTTAGTTGAAAAACAACCAACCTACAGCACAATCTCATCTCATTCATTCATTCACCACCAGCATCCATTGTCCATCCGCCATCATCACGGCTGCCAATACAACAACTCGGTTCTTGATCAACATTTTTTCTTGGTTTTACTTGTTGTCATCCCTTAAGAGGAATTTTCTGTCGTCGTCGTCGATCCAAGTCCAAAAGTGACGTCTGTCTCCGGTATCATCCTGCTTCAAATTTGTACCCCGGTAAAGAATTACTATAATAATTGAGCAAGGGAGAAATTCATGAGAGAAGAAAGAAAGAAAAGTTATCTAACTAAAGTATAAGCAACGAATACGGGTTCATATATGAAATATCATGCTATTGCAAAGGGAAGATTATCGTAGAATAGTTAGTACATGTATGAAAACACAATGATTTCCGAGTATTTATTTATTAATTTTATTTGAGAATATGAAACAGAAGAGCGTCTAGTTTACCTCTAGCTGCTGCTGGTGATATGCATACATAAATACATGGCATTTAGACATGTCAAAGTATCAACCAGTCATTCCTAAAAGAAACGAGTGCTGAATATTCAGCCAACAAGCTACCTCATTTACTTGTTATTGAAAAATTTGTGATTTAATTTTGTCATTTTATATATCAGTAGAAAGTATATAATATATGCACATCTGATCAATGAACCAACGTGACGGTGATTCACAAAAATTACGGGTTTTTGTCTTTTGGACAAATGTAAAAGAATGTACCTTTGCGCGGAGTAGAGTTCCTATTAATAATATGTGTCCTCATTATTAATCGTTACCATATACATTTTAGAGTCAAGAATGGGTGTAAATTTTATTGCGGAGATCGCAACTTTTAGCAAGCCTAATGCAATGAGAGATCCTCATAATATTTTTGCATTTGATTGATGCTAATCAATGCCAATTATGGAATCAATACGGGTATTACATTAGGGAGAACGTCATCATAAGCGACTAGAAGAACTTGTATATACATAAATATATTCTATATTGAAATATTGAACACTACAATAACTATTGCAGTAGTTAGTTAACAGTAAGTTAGCATAAATAATTTATCTTGTATGTAATATACATATTTACACTCGTAGTGCTACACATTTCCATATTCTCGGTGAATACTTCCTCGTGACCAATCAATTTGAATGGAATGGGAATCAGCTTAAATATTTTCTCAATCTCCACCTTCTTTGAACTTTAAAAAAGAAACATTACTGTACTGAAACAATCGTTCAGGTTTTTTCCTAAAATTACCTCCGGTGACTTAACAAGTAGGTAGGTAGAATTATTCTCATAATAATATGTGGGATTATTGAATTATTGTTCATGATCAACCCAGTGAAAAACATTCCTCCAAAAGAAACGAGTGTCTCAATGTGACTCCCGGTGTCAAACTCAGTACCAATAATAACTTTAAATATAATACGGTTTTCCTGAAAAACTGTGATTCGTCGTATATGCCAGATTGTCAAACTCTTATTTCTTGTCTCTATTGTCTCCTCGTCAACTCTAAAAAGACACACAATCAAAATCAAGTTTATTCCAGTGAACACTAAAGTACTGATAAACCTATGATACATTGTCCGGTGAGGTGAAAATGTAGTTAACATAAGGTCCAATCCATATTATATAAACTAAAATGTGTACCTGTCAATTCAGGCGACTGTCTCGGTGAAGTAGAAGTAAATTAACTTATTTCTTGGCCTTCTCCCCAACCAAATCAACTCCATTCCATAAATTCGTCAATTTCTAAAGCAAAATAATTTTTTAATCAAAAAAATATAGAAATACATATTCAAAGACTTTACTTCCATTCATTTCATCTTCTTATGCAAAAATTTCTGGGTGGGTGAACACACACAACAATGGAATGGAGTGGGTATAGGGTTTGCCTACAAGTATCAACTATGTTCAAACCTTACACTACCGGTGATTGACACATCGTGCCAACATGTCATATTATAAAGCCTTTCAAGGTTCAAGGACTGGTAAACTCTAGGTACTGGAAAAATCATTCTTTAGAGATTTTTAATTTATTCACTTTTTGGATTGATTTCCTTTAAGAATTTCTATTATGTAAAAATAATGATAAAAGAGGTCCATGATTTTTGGGTAAAATCAAAAGTTTCTGTCATTGTTCAAGTCCATAACAAATACTTTGAGCTAACAGTAGTGGAAAAATAAATAGATTAGAAGAAAGGCCTCAGATAGGAAAAAAACTTGGGAATTTTGATTAAAAAATGCCAGCTTGCTTTTTCATACCCTTCATGCCTGTCTGTCATTCTTTTTCATTCTCTACGCATAGCAAAGAATAAAGCGATCACAATGCGATAGAAAAATCTCAAATAATGACGATGATTTTGAAACCCACAGTTCCTCACGTTCAATCGTTAGTAGTAATCAGTAATACATAATCTGATGATGCCATATTTATATATATAGATATATACATATATATTATAGTACTATATATCAGTCAAAAACTTAGTATCGACTGTAAGAAAACGTTAGTAATAATATGATCCTGGAGAACTTTGTGCCAAAATGTACTCGCTTTTTAAATCAATAATGATTTGTAACGACCTACCTCATTAATCTTTAATATTACTACATTACATGTAAGAAGGTACATAAAAAACATATATCTCAGAGGAAGAACAAACAATAATAATGCTGCTGTCTTGTCGCCTTGTATTATTCAATAGTAGTTAGTGGTGTATTTTCGTAAGAAATTGATGAAGACTGATGAAAAATGGTCTCAACTATAACTCATTCTGAACAAATATCTCAATACAAAAAAACTCTTCTGTCGAAATGTCTTTTTTGTCAGTGTCAACGATAAGACTGAAAAGTTCTCGCCTTGTACTCGTCATCTTCTTGTTTTGTTTTTTGGTTAAACATCTCTCCTGCTTTGTAAAATTGAAGATAATAATAACATTATTAGTAATTGATAACGCGTCCTACTTGAATATTTAAGTAAGTATAAGTAACTGTGAGCTAATCGGTCGTGTTGCATGTGTTTGTGGCGTGACTAAACGGGAAAACGGGTTAAACTAGGATACATTGAAAGTTATTGGTTTTTATACCTAATAATAAATAACTACATCATACAACTATTAGTGAACAATAGTAATAGTAAAATAACAATACTTTATTATAAGTTCAATAATAATTTAAGTCAATGAAATAAGCAACAATGTAACTGAAATGAAATGAATACGGGTAATCTTATGAAATTTTTCATAAGTGTGTCACTTCACTATCATTCATCAGTACGGGTATTACGACTACTGAAGCACGACAGAATATTGAAAATATATATATATATTATGCAATAGTATTAAAACAATAGCTATTTTGTACAAGAGTAATGTATCCAGTAGATAGTTTCTTAATGGTATAATTAAACAACAATTTATTGCTAGTTCTTATGAAAAACACACGTCAAACCTCTTAAATGAATCGAATCGTATAAAAACGGAAATCACATTTTCTCATTATCATCCCATCTTATACTCATGGATGAATTTACGAGGAAGTCATAATAATGGTCGATTCAATTTACGATACGCTTTCGAATTTGTAAAATTTTCGTAGTGCATAGGTCGTTCTTGAAAACGTATCGTGAAAGAATACGTAATGATTTATGTGAACATGTCTCTGAGATTATGAAGCATTCCTTTACCTTATCTACCTGAGTTTATAAATCAGTTTGTTATTTATAATGATTGATTTTTGAACAAAATATTTTACAACCGGTGTATAATAATAATTATTAATAACAATTATTATTATTTATCTCGAATATATCGAACGATTTGATTTTGAATATTGTTATTATTCCAATATTGGTTATGCTACGAGAATGAGTAAAATCATGAAACTTAAACATTGGATTTATTATTAAGTACAATAATAAAGAGTTCCTATTTATTGCTTTTGTCACATATGCTATATAGTTAGTACGAATTGTATCCGTGATCTGTGAACTATAATAAATTTTTCTACCTCATGTGTGTTAATTTTTATGGATTTATGGAGTTATGAGAGTCATTTATCAATTATCTGCACATCATAGCATAAAAATACTTAATCATCAAATTAAAAAAAATCATATTACTTTTATGCACCATAACAAACCCATGCAGTCTCACCCTCACCATTCCTCATTTATTATCCACTACAAATCTCGGACCACTTCACACACTTTGATATTTTTTTAAGTTTACATTGTTTCCAAGAATAACATTTCCGAAAAATAACTGAAAATCACTCAAGCTTATAGATAGATGGGAATCTCGCAATGCGAGAGAAATATATTGATTTTTATCCACACTGCATCGTAGGTATATTCAAGCCCGTGTCCGTCCATATAGCTGAGAGCTGAGAGTATTTTCATGTTCACCAGCAGAGAGAAGTACAAATACAGATCACAACAGCGGAGAAAATCTCCACTTCACCGCCAGTCCCCTCGTGTTGTTTTTGTGAAAAAGTTGTCGTTCGATGGGGTGATCAATTATTATTATTTAAAATACTAAAACTATGAACTAAAGCTAACGTTGAAAGTCTTATCGCCAAAACAACTCTCGATAACCAGTAATGTACTGGATATTAAACACGCGTACAAGAGCACAAGTCCTTTCAGCAATTGGACGATGGGCTCAGGAGGGATCGACGTCTTCGTCATTTTCCACATCGTCTCACCTTAGAGCCCTCAGAACATCAATCCCAGCACTTGCAACACGCCCATATCTCCAGAAAAGGGATGGTGATGCCGCTTTCAGGGCTGGACCTTGGACTACGAAGGGTGTGGTCAACACAGTCAATTTGTTTCCTCCCGAGTTGGAAATTCTTTATTTTGGGCGAAGGGGGATGAAGCATGATAAGCACATGGGGGGTTACAGCAACTTTGGTCACAAACCGATCCCTCCGTCCGCCTTCACGTCGGGAATCCTCTGGTTCATCATCATCAGCATGATCTTGCTCAGGGTCGATTGGGAGTAGTAAGTTCAAAATTATAAATACATTATTTGGCCCATGGTTTGCATTTTTGGTACAAATTATTGAAACTGATTATTGTTTTTCAAGCTTATTTGACAAGTACGACATTGAGTTTCCCAGAGTGGACGCTGCATCTCCCCCAGAACCGAGTAAAAAGGACAAAGTTGCGGTGGGGGACGAGTCCGAACATGAGGATTCTAGTTCCGAAGGAGGAAAAGAACTTTCAAAAAAGAAATCTGCAAAAGTTGGGTTTCGAGATAGAAAAGTAATATAAATTAAAATGTAGTTAAGTTGAATGTAGTTTGGGTAATTCCAAGCAGCTTCATTAAAAATGTTGATGATTGTTTATAGATAATCGAGTACGAGAACAGAATTCGACAGTACTCAACCCCAGATAAAACATTTAGATATTTTGCATCCTTGCAAGTAGTTCATGTCAATGGAGAAACGGAGATATTCATGACGCCAGATGACTTTCTCCGATCGATCACTCCTGGAATTAAACAACCGGATGGTATATCGTTATATTCAGATTTACATTATTAATTCTCGATTGTGTGAGTGATTCAATACTGATTTTGCGTCTCAATGTTCTAGGTTTGGGATTGGACCAATTCAAACGCTACGACCCAAAAGTATGTTTCTAATTTTCTGGGGATAAATTACTTTCATTTCACTTTCTCACATAAGAATTGAGCGACTGACTGAGCTACAAAATATATTCCCATAATTATTCATTAATTCATTACGATTCGAATCAACACAGCACAATTTAAATGTCTGTCTGTCTATATATCTATCTATCTATATGTACATATGACTTTGACTTATGATGATATGATGTCTCTCTGTCTCTCTCTTGTCCTCTTTCTCTATCTACTATATATTCTCTACCTACTTCTCCTGTACTGTCTTCTATCCACTCTAATCATCTTCTTGGTCAATGTTGCCTTACTTTCACAGTGTCGGGAGGTAACCTCGCCATTCTCTCTTTCTCTCTGCACATCCATCAATACTCTTTGTAAAGATGCACAAGTTGTTTAATTGACGTTCCGTTTTATTTCCATTTGATGCATCTTCATTTGTTAATAATACATTTTATAACAACCACTTTCCTGTCTTGAGAGTTCATTGAATGGCTTCTTACCAAATTTATTATTCGTTCTTCGTTTATACTCACTTGTTAATACTAATCCAATCAAGCAGTTTATTACGTGCAAGTAGTTTCACCCCCCACAGCACTTTAAGATATAACCTGGCCTCTAATCTAACGTCTAACCTGTATCTTTAACACAAAATCCCATCTTTTTTACCCATTATTAAAATGTCACACTTCTTTCTCGTTCAATCTCGGTCAAAATTTCTATATCTAACCCAACAATTATAAAATGTTTCAGGGCCAAATCCCAACCATAATCTGACCAGCAGTGATGTTTTCCTTAGTTTGGTCAGAATATTCTTGACATAATTATGTTGTCTCCCCACTAAATATTATTGTTACTATTAATTACTCTGAATCATGTGATCAAATTACTCTTTTTCTGTGACAAACAATTATAACCCCCTTGCTATATAGTAACATTACGTAATAACACAAATACTCATATTCACTCAATATGCACTGATATGGTATGCATTTTATTGTTGCTCTGTCCCAGCCAATTGTTATTAACCTTCACTGTAGATTTTTCATAGTCTCTGCATTCCTTTCTTAATTAGAAATGTTACTAATAGATCATGTTTCCAAAATATTTCGTTTCCAGTTTAAATGCATGTCGTCTGGATTTGTTGAAATTGAATGACGTGTTCTTTACACAAATTTTGGTTTTTATATTATCGTGTGCATCTCAAATGTAACTTAAACTTGTAGCAAGCCGGAAAATTATTGGAACTCGACTTACACCGGGACAGTATTTTTTACAAGTTGGGGAGTGCTGGTCTCATTTCATTTTCCGATTATGTCTTTCTCCTCACGGTTTTATCAAGTAAGTATGGATTCAAATAAACAGACTGACTTTTGTCCTTCATGTTTGACGTTTTTTTTAAAATTCTTTCAGCATCCCGACGTCACTTTGAGATCGCATTTCGCATGTTTGACCTGAATGGAGACGGAGACGTGGATGTTGAAGAGTTTGAAAAAGTCACTGCGTTAATCAGACAAAGGACAAGTATTGGTGCTAGACACAGGGAACATTCCGTTTCTGTCAACAGTTTACGGGTTAGACAACAATTATTTGGAAATAAATTACATTATGATAGAATAATAATGTAAATTTGTACATTCTTCAAACACAGGAAATGAATTCTGCCCTGAATTCATACTTTTTCGGAACCACTCGCAGAGAAAAATTAACAATTGAGAAGTTCCTCGAGTTTCAGATGCAACTTCAAACAGAAATTTTGAAATTGGAGTTTAAAAGAAAGGAACCTAATGACAATGGCAAAATCAACGAAACTGATTTTGCAGAACTACTTCTTGCCTATGCGGGATATCCTCCCAAAAAGAAGGCCCGCATGCTAAAGCGAGTCAAGAGAAAGTAATTTTTCTTGGTAATAATTGCTCGCATTCGCAAATTCAAAAATGTGATTTCTTGTAGGTGCAAGGACAAAGAGTACGCAACTGGAGTGTCACTTGATGACTATCAGAAATTCTTCCATCTACTCAGCAATATAAACGATGTGGATACGGCGTTAACCTTTTACCATATCGCTGGTGCTGCGATTGATCAATGTATGACCCTAAATATTAAATATAAGAATGCATATACTACTCAACATGGAAATGACGTTTTTATAAATATTGTCGAATTTCAGCTACATTGAAACACGTTGCGAGAACAGTGGCTCACGTTGAACTGTCTGATCACATTGTGGACGTTGTATTCACTCTCTTTGATGAGAACAGTAAGTAGTAGTATTCAAAATCTACCCTATTTATGATTAACAATTTAATTTCGAAATATTATTTTAGTGGATGGACAGCTTAGTAATCGCGAATTTGTTGCAGTCATGAAGAACAGGTTGATGCGAGGGTTGGAAAAGCCGAAGGATACTGGATTTTTCAAGTTACTTCGATCCACGGGCCGATGTGCAAAAGAATCACTGCCTTTCTGAACAACAATGCCAACATGAATTTGTTACAATAATACAATTTCCTTTCTTGTTTCGAAAATTAGTTTCTCGTTAAAGTGCAATATCTCTCTACACTTTATGATATCTAGTCTAGCACATTAACAGAATGTACTTGTTACTTCGAGCTGCTACCCACAAATTATTGTGCCCTTATTGTTACTTAACTGAGGAGGGGAGCTTCACCACCTGCCCCTCTCAGATCTTGATGTGCTTTGCATATGTGGTAGGGTCCCATGAGTGTACTATAACCCTGAAGTGGTTTCACTCCATGGCCACATTTGCGCCCGCCACACCCACTCAAAGGCGCCAAAAACACGAAAAAAGCCCTGTTTTAACTTGTTCAAACCCTCGCCAAAAATCCAATTTTGCTCGGATTTTGGTAAAATTTACATTTTTGTAATCCCAGATACTTGCTTGATCATATCCAGTAGCAATCTCTACTTTTTTGAAATTTTGAATTTTTTCGAATAATTCATCAGCCCGAAAATTCCCTAAAATTTCAAAAAAGTTGAGATTGCTACTGGATATGATCAAACAAGTATCTGGGATTACAAAAATGTAAATTTTACCAAAATCCGAGCAAAATTGGATTTTTGGCGAGGGTTTGAACAAGTGAAAACAGGGCTTTTTTCGTGTTTTTGGCGCCTTTGAGTGGGTGTGGCGGGCGCAAATGTGGCCATGGAGTGAAACCACTTCAGGGTTATAGCACACTCATAGGACCCTACCACATATGCAAAGCACATCAAGATCTGAGAGGGGCAGGTGGTGAAGCTCTCCTCCTGAGTCAAACAATATGGTTAATAAAATCATTAATATAACCGAAGCTTGAGCGGATAGAACGTATATAATCATTTATTCATAAACATAAAATATTTGGGAGAGTTCACAAACTTGCTTGCTTTAACAAACCTGTCGAAATTTAGATGAGAAATAGGCAAAAATTGGGAAAAATATATTGCTCGCATTCGAATAATCATCAATAGTCTTAAAATTTGCCTTAATAAATAGATTAGAATACCTCAAATATTGGAACAAATATAATGTATTTAAAAAATAATATATATCATAATTTAAGTGATGTATAATAAATCATAATAACACGAACACATAGATTTACAAATTGTAAGTATTATTGGACCTAATATATTTACACCAACAAGGCAAAAAAATACAGAACTCATCCTCAGTTTATGGTTGGAAAATTTCAAAATTAGATTTTGTAAATTTCAGTATTGAATTTTTCCAGTATATTTCCTGTCGGGGGTTGGTGACAAGTGGTCTACAAACATCGACACCCCATTGGTCGACAGAATATTGGTCGCCAATCACGCTACTCGGTACCCACTACGTACGGTGAGGTACTTTAAATCCCAGTTGTTAAAATGAATGATCTAGGGTCGACTCATATATCAACTTGAATGAGCAGACCATTTCTATGTAAAAAAAATCCAGCTTTCCCCCTCAAAATTTGTCGACCACTCGACCGGACCTCTTCCTGTACTGCTTTGGCGTTTATCTAATCGCATTAGGTCTCGTAAATATGCACGAGCCTACAATTTGTGCTTTTGTAGCCATGAAATCATCACATAGAACGGCAATGAAAAAATATGGATACTCTGACGTAAGTGGTAAGTAATGTAAACTGCATTGTATAAATGGTTGACAAGTAACCCTGTAATTATGGCTATCTAAAAACTTGCTTTTGTCAGTATCTATCAGCAAACTCTGAATTCCCACTTCCATTTCCACTTCCGGGGGGCTCATTGGCTCTGGTGGAGGGATTGTCTAATTTGTTCTTTTCTGACTTGATCATATAGATGAAATAAGTGACCGTCTCCTTCTCCATAACGGGGATAGTCTTAAAGTGACGCATGAGAATCTATGTAAGAACAAGGTTCTATAAATTAGTAGATCATCCCAAAGTATGGCAATTATTCATAATATCAACTTACATCCGCTAGCTGGGCTTTGTTCAGTCCAGGACGACTTGGGATTTTGAAGTGTTTTTTGTATCGTCGCAGCGTATTAACCTGAAGTTGGAAAAGATCCACCTCCGGTATGTCATCCCCATCGTTCATTTCGTCATCTGAATCCTTTTTCTGTCGAGATCTTGCATTTTGGATGACCATTTTATGATAGTCACAAATATAAATGTGAGTTGCCTAAATATAAACAACGGAATCATGATAATGAGCGTATTATAAAATGACGTAGCTTCTCCCTTCCTCAACTTACGTTCAAATCAGTTTCCAATTTGAGTCTTTTGTAGTAAACTGTTTTCTGAATCCTTTTACTGTAACTGGCATTCCCTGCAAATCTATTACATCTCTTCCCGTCATCCACTAAGCAACAAATTTGGTTTCTCCCTCCTCCCCCACCTCCTCCTGTGCCTGAAGAATAGTTTAAACCTTGACTGCCCGAACCTGAACCACCTTGATGAGCCGCGGAAGAGACTGGGTTTCCAGAGCCTGATGACAAATTAAGCCCAACATTACTTTAACAATATTTTGACACCTATACAAAAATCATTATAGATTACCTGGATAATAGGATGATGACGTATGGGCTGGTGACTGCTTATAGTCGTCAAAATCGTCTTCACTAATGTACTGCCCTCCTCCACTTCCGGCACCATTCATGGTCACTTTCTTCTTTGCAATATGGGATCAATTGACACGGGTGTAAGTAAGCTACAAGTCAGAAAAATATGGGATTAAATATATAAACTGAGTAACGACTTTAGGAAATTTTGAATTGGGAAAATGATCATCACAAATAATAACCTACCTTTTTTAAAACTTTTAAACAATCTTCTCCTCTCGTCACTTATGTAACAACCAAGTGGTAACACCCACAAAAAAATAACTCACTAAATTTGAATGCTGGTTGATATAATTCGAATTTTATGCAACCTGTGCATAAAGAAGATTCCTTTCAAAGCATCAAATCAACAAACTTTGATTTTACCCTCGGCAACATGGACTTGTCAAAATGAGGCTTCTACGTTCTAGCCTTTCCCTCCATCCAATACAATACATGGCTTTTTGGTTTTTTAATATTCAAGTCTCAAGTTGCCAGCCTCACTTTCCACGTCCTCTTTTCCACCTTCTTGCCAAAGGACACCAAAAAAGACGTAGAGGGTCGAATTCTTTGAATTGGTCACAACTCAAACAGTGGTTAGTTTTGGTCAATTCAGGCTAATTTTGTCTCATTTTGATCAAATAAATTTCAGGAATGCAGGATGAGACTTTTTAAGTCGTATCATTTCATTCACATAATTTTCATGGTGGTTGCTGTTGGTTTGGTGGGATTAGTGTCGCCACCTGATCTCCACTCGTGCAACGAGGCTGAGCCGGTGGGCACTCTGTTGAGCGAATTGGTCCCATTAGACAGACCGACCACGTTTTCTTTCACTTCTGCCTTCTTACTGCGAAAGCAACCCGGTTGCACTAAGCTCCCTGAGAGTAATTTTCCAAATTTTTTGTTAGGAAATCTTCGTAAATTTTAAGGTAACTAACGTACTATTGAGTGTGGTGGGGGAAGGGTGTGAATTAGTGGTTGGTGAAGTTGAGTAGTTATTTTAATTGGGATTTTGTCGGAAATTTTAGATGGCGAAGCAGAAGGGCGAAAAGAAGAAATCGACCATTAATGAGGTGTTGAGCCGAGTTTACACCATCAACCTCCATAAGCGACTTCACGGGATCAGGTTTAAGCGCAGGGCACCTCGCGCCATCACCGAGATCAGAAAATTCGCCATGCAGCAAATGGGAACAGCCGACGTCCGAATTGAAGAGACGGTCAATAAACAAGTTTGGTCTAGGGGAGTTAGGTGAGTCACCAGGTCTTCCTCCTAAGTCGTTAGCTAATTGTTATTGCATGTTGAAGGGTATGACAATGATGATGATAAGAGGTGGATAAGGGTACCCCACAAATTAAGCCGACATTTGAAAATATACTTTGTTCAAGTGTGGTTCATAGTGGGAACATGAATGCAGTTATGTGTAGGGTTGTGACCTAATCTATAGTCAACATCCCAAGGAAATACTGGGACAATAATAGAATTGTACATGCTAATTAAGGGTTTTAAATGTCTTCATAATTTACGAATTTTTGAGATGACATATTTTGTGTGGATTGGAGGGGGCGTTGACTAGGTTAATGATTTTTATTTGTTACGTTATTTCCAGAAATGTACCCTTCCGACTTAGAATCAAGCTTGAACGGAGGAGGAACGACGATGAAGATTCGGTTCACAAGCTGTACACCATAGTAACTTACGTCCCCGTTTCCAGCTACAAAGGACTTCAGACCCTCAACGCCGAGTCTTCAAAGTAATCTTAATTCGAGCGTTTTTATTACTCCTGTGTTAACTGGACTGGATGTCAATAGTTGCATCATTAAAATAAAGTCGCTTTGATTTAAAAATTAACAATGAGTTCTGATTCTGACTAAATTTTCTGTTGCAACACAGCGAGTAGGATTTTTCTTCGATGCATCGCATTGTGTAGACTTACAATTAGTTTTCATTTTTTTTATTACAATTTAATTAAGGATACATGTCATTCTTGTTCAAAAGAATTCTGCATATATTTAAAATAGTACAGTTCATTTCATTAGCTAATCTTTAAGAATTGGAGGACTTCTTCTTGCTGACACTACAGTTCTCAGAAGTTGTTATCAATTCATCAAACTTATCATTCTGGTAGACACACTGTCCACCAATCCAAGTAGAAATTACGTCCAACGTGTTAGGTTTTAAGAAGACAAAATCCGCATCGGAACCAAAGGCAAGAGTTCCTTTATGCTTCTCAATCTTGAGAAGTGTTGCTGGATGAAGAGTTGCGGCTTCCAACGCTTCCACAAGTGTGCATTCTGTATCATCATTTCACAATTTAATTTATGTCCATCGAAATTGTTTGCATTGTTTTTTTGATATTTTATTCAATCAGCGTACTAGTTGTCGCCCAAAAATATTGGATGCAAGAAACCATCGTGGCCACACTCCCAGCCAAAGTATTCGTCCCCTGAACGAAAGCTTTTGTTCCCGTAACTTCGATAACCTGTTGGCCAATGTGGTATACTCCGTTGGATAATCCCATAGCAGAACAGGCATCCGTCACCAAAACAATTCCTAGAAGAAAAATACAAAATAAATGCTTATATTCGTTCAGGCCCTGTGGTTTTTCTTACCTTTGGGATAAGATCTATAAGCAATTCGCGTGGTGGATGGATGGGTATGATTTCCATCAGCAATAATTCCATAGTAAATTATTTTCCCTGGAGGTAGGTTTTCTGACCCGAGAAGACCTACCAGGCCTGGATCACGGTGATGGAACTGTATTGCAAATCAAATGTTTCATTAAGTGCTTTCCATTTTAATGCTTAGAAAAATTGTAATTCTATTACAGGCAACATAGCATTAAAGAGATGAGTGATGAAAGATGCTCCGTTGTTAACGGCAAGCTCTCCTTGAGCAATATTTGCCATGGAATGACCTGTCAATTACATAAGTTAAAGCATATTCATAACATGACAAATAGATATTATTATTTTATCGCACCAACGGAAACAATGACTCCAATTTCATTCAGCTCTATGCAGACTTTGATCGCATTTGGCAGTTCGGGGGCGAGAGTTATCATACAAATTGAATCAATGTGTTGATACACTTCTCTTATAGATTCCATTCCCTAGACAAACACGAAGGTATTTAAAGGGTAATCTAACTTTCAAACCGTCTTTTACAATTTTTGACATACATTTTTGAAAGTCTGCATGGTTGCCTGGTCATGAGCTCCTTTCTTCTCTGGATTTATGAAGGGTCCTTCGACATGGGCTCCGAGCACCTCCGCCCCATGTTTTCCCCCCACGCATCGCTTCAGGTGTGGCAAAACCTTGCAAATTTTGAACATAATGATCATCGTACCTTTGGCGTATGTATACATATTTCTTTTGAGCATACCTTGGTATAGACGTGGGGATGAGATGACACTAATGTGGGGCAAAATGACGTGACTCCATGGGCCAAAATCCCCTTGGCCACAGTCATAATCCCAACGTTGACGGTGTCCACATCGTATGAAAAGTCGACACCAAACCCGCCTGCAAATAAATTAGTGGATGCATTGATTAACTGAAGAGCATTTTCAATTAACTTAATGTAACCAACTACTTGGATTTTTAACCGGAAATTGTCTATGTATCGCGCAAATTGCACGGTGCAATCATACGTAAAATAGTGGGCGTAACAGAATCATGTTATTATCTTATCCTTAGTTGGAACTTGCTGTTGGGAATTGCATTTTATTATTAGTGAGAGTGGTGAAGCATGTCGTACATATAAGCAAAGTCCATTTACAAAGCAAAGGCCTCGTGTAAAATGCAGACCAGGTTGACAAGTTGGGTTTCTATTCGAGCTGATCGTGGTTTCTCTGCTCATTCGTCTCAATTTACAGCCAGCCTTACACGGTTACGCAAATAACAAGCAGTTTCACCAGCACAACTTATGTACTTAGGTACATCCTTCTCTCTTCATAATTGCCGAGACGTGCTTGAAATTCGATATATTTTTTTATATCCCAAAAGTCTCGACCATTATCAAAATAGTCGCCACTCTTAAATATTTCTTACTTGCAGAACTGTCTTTACTGCCATTGTACAAATCAATTTTAAAATATAACCAACTGACGTGAATGCATATTAGTACAGCATGGACTGAATATGAAACCATAAATATGTACTCACCGTTAAGTTGTACATCAATAAAACCGGGTGAAATTATTGCCCCCTTGCAATCCACGACTTGGTCTGGTAAGATCTTCTCGTTGTAAAACAAGGACTCGGGGTCAATAATATTGGAACCACTGATCCAGAGCTCGTCATTGATCAACTCATGGTTCCTGAGAATGAGACAATTATGAAACTTGACGATGGGGCCGTTCCCACTGGTAGTCGTCGAATTCTTCATGTTCACCATCAGATCTGCCGGAGAAGAAATTTGATTTACTTGGTGGCACAATATAACTACAGCTTCTTCTCGATTCTGTCGCGTTGATGATGCAACTATGCAAACTTTATGTTTTTTTGTTTTTCTAATTAGCTGCTGGCCCAACAGTTGGTTTGGTATTTAGAATCAACTGTGTCAAGGAAATGGTTGATTCAAGTGTCCTCCCGAATCACGTCAAATGTAGTGTGCAATTATTATTTCGAGCTGTTCTGTTCTGCCTGAATGGCTTTGATTTGATCTCTTGTGTCTGGCTGTCTAAATAAATGAACCGACTCGTATGATATTATTGAGCTAGTGGGCTTCCTATATCATCGAAAGCTCTATATTATTGATGTACGGTGATGTACAAGAGATGAATGATGATAAACTTCCAGTGGTTCTTGATCTTGTCAGCCGCACTGGCCAGAGAGACCTCGTTTTATGTAATTAGAGTGCCTGGGATTTAAATGCGACTATCATGATCGTGTCGTGTTTTTGTGTGGTGCATGCAGTGCTTCACAATCAATAATAAATTTAACATATGAAAGTCATATGACTGTCATAATGTATCTAAATCGAGTACAACATTACAATTAAATTGATGGATGATGACATTTAGTTACGCTTTGATACAGTATTCATTCATGCAAACTTTGTTACACACTTCACCAATGATAACTGTACAATTACAATAGCGATTATGGGTTTAATTGTAAACTCGGGGTTTTTCTCATGAAATAAATATATGGCCACACGGACATTTAAACTCTGATCCGTTAGTATAGAACCCACCCACAATGATATCGGTACAGTTCATTAATCTTGATAGATTTGTTTGATGACGTGAGGCGTGAGATTACATTTTGGATGCAACGGAACCTTTTTCCACATTGTCAGAAATAGAGGAAAATTGCATTTCCATCAAATGCGTTAGGTAATAAATTGCATGGGTCGAAATATCACATCACACAAATAATTACTCTTAATGTTGGACATTCATAGTATCGGTACTTTGCTCTAGCCGATAAAAATAAATGGATGGATATACTTACATACAACCTCAAGTATGTAAATATGTGCATGCATATTATGTGTGCATAAATATGTATGCATATGCTCAAATTCAACATACATATAATCCGAGAGATTCGCATTTGCACACAATTTGTTTCATGTTTTTTTATGCAATGACAATACGTAACAAGTAAATAGGCTCGCTCCCAATTTGTACTTTTTCTAAATATTTATTATTTTGTATTCGAACAAATTGCAGTTTTTGACTTTGGATATTTTTTTAGATGGAAATACAGAAAAAACTTGTAGATATATATTATAGAAAAAAGAACATAACTGAATATACCTGACATTTATATATTTATTAACAACTTGTGATAACAGTATACTCGCAGTATATGAAACGTACAAGATCATTGTAATATATGTATTACGATCAAAAAATTTGGATCAACTATAGAATTGTGTACGGGCGTTGAGATCCTTGCAAAATCTTATATTTTTAGTCCGAGTAGAGCGTAGTCTTCTTGTATTTGTTGTGGGATGAGTGCCTGTGATTATGCTTTTGACATCAGGTTGGCGTAAAACACGGGCGTAACAACAACACCAAGAACTTTGTCTCTTTATCTTAACTTAATTATATTGTTGTTTGTCAACTGATTCAAGTCAGCATTTTTCTCTACTTAGTAATACCTCATATACCTTATGAAACTAGGAAATATTGAAATCTCTCCTTCACCTAAAATCTGTTGATGACTTAATTATATATGTATCAACCAACAAGAAGAACTACATTGGCATGTTTCCTTCTCATTATAATCAACAATAATAACCAACTTGTAATATATAACATTAGTTGTCAGACACATTCGATACATGTTTCAGCTGAAAACCTACGTTAATTTTTAGTGATACATCTTCCTCAGCTCTTTTGATTCACAAAGGGAATGTCGGAAAATAAGATATCTGTCAATCCTACAAAAACTATACAACTATAACCACAATATTATTACCAGGATAAAGCTGTCCATTCATCAAAATTTTTGAGTCACAAAAGTACTTTATATGCTCTTTAGTTGTCAGCAGAAAAAAAAATTGATCCTTCCTTAATTCATATTATGGTTATACACTTGTAACATCATTGTAGTAAAGGAAACACATTAAGAAATGAAAGCAACTATTTATTGTGATACTGGACACGTGTATATGATTAGTTAAGCTAATCCATCATGTTACTTAAAATATAAAAAATACATAACTTAGGAGAAAATCAGTTTCGATGATAAAACGCCGCGATGGTGGTTTATTCATCAGACTCTTCGTCTTCGTCCTCATCGTCATCTTCTTCGACTGGTGGGGGTGGGGCCTCGACCTTCCCCTTCTTCTTGTAGGCAGCCATTTCCTGAAAGACGAAAATAATTGCATTGTAATCCTTCAGTTGATACTCGTACAATGTACACGTATATAAGCAAACGATTACAATAAGTAACTCACCCTCTCGTAACGAGCCTTGTCGCGTTCAGCCATGGCCTCATATTTTCGCTTAACTTCGGGGTCAGCTTCAGACCACAATCTTCCGAGTTCTTTTGCAATTTCGCCGACGCCGTACTCTGGGTTCATCCCCTTCACCTTTGGCCGCTCATCATTACAGAACCAAAAGAAAGCGGAGAGGGATCTCTTCGGTGCGTTGGGATCTTTGGTGTGACGACGCTTCTTACCACGACCCTTGTCTCCTTTGGCTGGGACGTAATCCTGCATCTCCAGCTCATATCGCTTCTTGTCACGGTCCGCCATTTCTTGAAAGCGTTTCTTCTCCTTCTCGGACATGGTCTGCAAAAACAACACACGTCACATATTTTGCACACTTAAATATTTTACACCTCTCTTACTAATACTCGTTACCGAAATAACTATAATTACAATCTCACCTTCCAGCGCTCAGCGCATTTACGAGAGAATTCAGAAAATACAACGCTCTCATCCGGATGCTTCTTCTTATGTTCTTCTCTGCAGGTCTGGACAAAGAAAGCATAGGCGGTCATCCGACCGCGGGGTTTTGAGTCATTCTTCGCTCGTGGCATTTTTAGATTCTGCAATAGAAACCAAAAAATTCGTTATTAAAAACCCACACACATTCATATTGTGAGTTTGCATCACATATTGAAATATTATCCGATTTGACGATTTGATGCACGAATACTTACATAAATGTATTTTAATGAACTTATGAGGAGACGTAAAAGGGCAAGTTGAGGTTTAATAGTTAAAATAATTTTATGCGGCCAAAAACGCAAACCTGACTAGAAGGTCAAGTCTGATTTTTCTGATTTCTTAAAAATAACACATAAAGATTCTAAAGATATGCCCATAAAAGTTGGCGGTAAACTGGTGAAAGCCACATGAAAGTTGCGACATAAAATTCTACAGAATATCTCCTTTCGTTTACTAAATGCCTTGCACAACTTTATAATGAAACATACTAAAAAATATTATATCTCACCTTGCCAAACACTGAAGAAAAATTTGAGTTGAAAGTCAAATTGAGAGAAAGCACCACCCACCACCAATTAATTAGCAAGTTTCTCTCGCTCCGTTTCTTTTGTAAGTGAGGAAGAAGGTGACAAGAGAATGCAATACTGACAAGCCGGACGTATTCGGTTGACACGAACGAATGCAGAAAACGCTATATTAACGTTCAGAGGGGAGTTGATAGATTTTTAGGAAAAAATTTAGTTAACCGTCGGTCTCCGATAGGGTTAAGTGATACGTCATTTTGTTCAGTTCGACGAGCTGAACAAGAATATCGAAACCCGAATGCGCGGAAACGCTCCGTTCAAAAGTTATGGCAGGTCAAAGTTTGAAATTTTTATTGCATTTTTGGACGTTTCAGAGAATTCTACGACTTTGTCTCACTTTGCCCCAAAGCGGGAAATTTTTGGGGTATATTGAGATTTTGGGGTAAGGTGAGATTTTTAGTTTTTATTCCAGAATATTGAATTACAATCATTTTACGGCACGGCGGGAGGGGTTTCGGGGTACTTTGAGACTTTTGGGGTTATTTCCTATCCAATTCCCCAATTCTAGGCAGCACGTCTAGGTAGCACTTCTAGATAGCTATCCCAGGTAGCACTTCTAGGTAGCTCTTCTAGGTAGCACTTCTAGGTAGCTCTTCTAGGTAGCTCTTCTAGGTAGCTCTTCTAGGTAGCACTTCTAGGTAGCACTGCTAGGTAGCACTTTTATGTAGCTCTTCTAGGTAGCACTTCTAGGTAGCTCTTCTAGGTAGCACTTTTATGTAGCTCTTCTAGGTAGCACTTCTAGGTAGCACTTCTAGGTAGCACTGCTAGGTAGCACTTCTAGGTAGCTCTTCTAGGTAGCTCTTCTAGGTAACACTTTTAGGTAGCTCTCCTAGGTAGCACTTTCCGCGTATTCAATCTAACCTAACCTGCTCGCTTCGCTCGCTAAAATACGAACAATACCCCAATATTCGACATAATTACTACCAGTGCGGGGCTCCCGCTTTCGCATTTTCCAGGTTCGCTTCGCTCGCGGTCGCCATGTGAGGGCCCCCGTTTTGCCAAGTGCGAAGGGCCCTGCACAGAATCTGTGGTGTTCACAGTGTCTAGCTTCGCTCGGATTTGATGCATTTTACATTTAATAAATAACATCCAAATACCACCTTACCCCAAAATCTCAATATACCCCAAAAAATTTCCCGCTTTGGGGCAAAGTGAGACAAAGTCGTAGAATTCTCTGAAACGTCCAAAAATGCAATAAAAATTTCAAACTTTGTCCCGCCATAACTTTTGAACGGGACATTTCCGCGCCTTCTGGCTTCGATATTCTTGTTCAGCTCGCCGAGACGAACAAAATGACGTATCACTTAACCCTATCGGAGACCGACGGTTAACTAAAGTCTAGCCGATTTTTACATACATGGATCTCGAGCACAGGTAAGGAAGGAGTAGGTACACATACGACGCTTATTATGCAGAGTGACATAGCATCCTCATTAAGCACATACACACATATTATAACACACGGAGCCAAATCTGGACATGTTTAATAAGCAACGCGGAGAGAAAGGTGATGGCTCTTGCGAGAATAGGCTGAGCCGCTTAAATAATAGGCACACAAGTGTGTTGTGCTTTAAGAGAACCGTCGTCGTTCAAAGCCAACAACATGATGTACTACCTACCGCCTAACGCCTAGCTTCCTACCGCCTACCAGGTACTTCCTACCGCCTAAAGACCTAGCGCCTACTTCCTAACGCCTAAAATATCTAGCGCCTACTTCCTAACGCCTAAACGCCTACTTCCTAACGCCTAAAATGTTTACCGCCTAAATTTTTTTTTACATTTTTCAACGTTTCACACTATTCTATTAGTGGGGTACTTTGAGATTTTTGTAAATTTAATATCATGGAAATCATAATTTCTTCTTATAACAGTGGGGCACTATGAGATTATTGCGGTAAAGTGTCATCGATTGTCACAATTATGCCCCACATTGGGGTATTGTTCGTTTTTAAGCGAGCGAAGCGAGCAGGTTAGGTTAGTTATACTAGGTACGCGGAAAGCGTGAAATATTCAGCAAGGAGATCTACCTAGAAGTCCTAGCTAGGAGAGCCAGCTAGACGTCCTAGCTAGAGGTCCTAGCTAGGTGAGCTAGCTAGATCTCCTAGCTAGGAGAGAAAGTAGGACACAGTGTTAGACTTTGTCTCACTTTCCCCCAGGCTGGAAAATTTTTGAGGAAAAATGAGATTTCTACTAGCTCTAACTAGGACTACTAGCTCCCCTAGCTAGGACTTCTAGGTAGATCTCCTTGCTGAATATTTCACGCTTTCCGCGTACCTAGTATAACTAACCTAACCTGCTCGCTTCGCTCGCTTAAAAACGAACAATACCCCAATGTGGGGCATAATTGTGACAATCGATGACACTTTACCGCAATAATCTCATAGTGCCCCACTGTTATAAGAAGAAATTATGATTTCCATGATATTAAATTTACAAAAATCTCAAAGTACCCCACTAATAGAATAGTGTGAAACGTTGAAAAATGTAAAAAAAAAATTAGGCGGTAAACATTTTAGGCGTTAGGAAGTAGGCGCTAGGTCTTTAGGCGGTAGGAAGTACCTGGTAGGCGCTAGGCGTTAGGCGGTAGGTAGTACATCATGCCAACAACGCTCCTCGTTCGTTCGTCGTGAGGGAAGAAGGCGATGGAAATGGCAGCAGAGGTTTTTAATGCATAGCCTGCTTTCCCCAGCAACTCGCCGGCTTAATATACGCTCAACAACCTCCTACGTAGATCTCTCTATGCTTTACTGCATTTCTTGTATCTTGCTGCCGCTTTACAGAATGAATACCATTCCCAAGCAGCCATCATGGCTGTCCAATGCATAGAGACAGACACAGCACCGGGACGACGGAAACTATAACATTTCTCAGAAACGATTCCACTCTCGGATAAATTGTCAATTATGCATTTATTCACTCCCTCGAGATATGACCTTTGACCTAAAAACCGGCAAGCTACTCCCACTTTGTCGAGCTACTGCGTAGTTCTTGTATATGTACGGCTACCAAAGAACAACACTAGAGTTTGGACAGTGATGACCCCGTACCCAAAATTCTCATGAAATTGCACTAAAACTTTCTAATTTTTCGCATTTTTTACACTTGTCGAATCCTTCCATAAAAACTACACTACAGTTTCTCCCTTCCAATACGAATTTATCGGAATGCAAGCAAAACTCGAAGATTTTTAACCTTATGAAAACTCACAGTTTCCCATAACTCAATGAACTTATGCTGCCGGTCGAAAGCCTTAAGAAAGCTAAATCACCCCAATTTTTTTCCTGTTCTAACTATTTGTCACTATATTAAACCAAAATTCCCACTTTACGTTAGCCTGCCATTCCCAAAACTGTAGGCTGTGGGTGTGGTGAATTTAGATATAAAAAATGAAATAGCGTATAACTTCTTACCTGATTTGAGAGAGTGTGTTGTCGTAGCACGAATAAGTTAAGTTTTCAACAGGCAGGATCCTACGTACCCACGAGCTCTTATGCACAAATGAGCGAGTGAGCGAGCGAGTGAATGGCTGTGTAGTAAGCAAGCAAGTAAATGGATGCCTTGTTAAGTTGGCTTTGCTAAAGCAGAATCTACATCCAGCGAAAATATTATACAACTCTCTCCTTTAAGCAACGTTGGAGCAAGGGCAAATTCCCTACTCTCCCACCTACCAATTCCACCACTTTATAAGAACCTCTCTCGCTTTTACTCGCTTTAAGCCAATGGGAAAATGCCCAACGAACGAATGAATCCGGTATCTATCTCCTCAGTCAGTCAGTAGGACTGTACTTGCACAAAAACCAATGCACCAACATTGCTATAGTCTTTCGTTTATATAAACTGGGTATCATTCAAAGCTTGTGTGTTATTGCCAGCATACAAGGTACGACTCATATCTGGTGTCACCTCTTTTTAAGCAGAGGCCTAAGAACTAATTTTTAGCTCAAGAAAATGACACCCACGTAATGCATTTTTTTGAAAAGTGCATTTCTATTTTTATGAAAAAACGTCAAGCAATTGCATTGTTAAAAGTTATGCAACTCGGCAATCATTAGGAAAATTATCATCATCGACATTTCTACAAGTTGAAGAAGCTATATTATTATGGTGACGTGTTAGTGGCACAATCCTCTCGCAAATGCCAATCCATCCATCCATTTCCAACTATATATATGTATGTAGTAAGGTATTGTGTATGTATGGTTACTTACACCATGTTATAGAGTGAGACGGGTTGCAATGGCCACCGTATAAAGCAAATCTCTAGCTAAACCGAACCCTTGCTTGCGGTGATTAAACGTTGTGAAAAGAGCTCGAGAAAAATCAATATTTCAGGAATTTTCCAAATGGGAACTGATGTTGCATTCATTATCGCAACCAAGCTTAAAACTTTCTCTACAACTTTGTCAATCTCACTGTGCCAAAAAGTTGAGAGGCTTACCTGGAATTTGGGCCTGAATTTGAGCTTTTCTTAACCAAGATTCACTTATAAAATGGATTGGTTGGTGGTGGAGATGAACACACTGCTGCTGCCTGGTAAGAGGAAGAATTCAATGGTTTGCCGTGTCAGCTTCGTATAACAAGAGAATAATAAAAGCGTCATTTTGCCCATGCCAGTACTGCGCGAGGTCGGGTTGGCTATCTCATCTCCCTCCGAAACGCCCATCGCCATGATGACCTATCGCCGACGCCAGAGAGGTCAATTCCCCACCAATCATGGCAGTGCGGGAAAACAAGGCCCGACCCCCACTTCTGGGCCAAGCTTGATATCAAATTCGTCGTTTACTCCAATATATAGATAAACAGCACGTGGGGGCAAGCCTTATATGGCAAGTTACGACCTACGTAGAGGAGTGCAAATGCACCACCACAATCTGAATAGATCTAAAAATGACAAGAGAGAGGATAGTGAGTGCATTATTATGTTTGTATTATGCAAGTATTTGGCACTATGCTCTAAATAATTGACAGTGCTAAAAAGTACGACGATTACAATCAGGACTAAATATAATTAACTTTTTTTTTAGCTTTCACCAACACACGACTCGAATAGCCTGGAAGAACTGCAAAGGGAGAAAAAACTCCACTCGCCTCAGTCTCAAATTGAGACTCTCAATTATCAAGATTACATATCCAATACTTTGTCTCATTCCAATACTTTTTGTCTCATTCTCATAATCTTAAATTCCCCTAAATCTAAAACCTGTAAAATGAATGCATTTATTATCTAAACTTAAATGTGACATAGATTTATATAACTAGAAAAATATGATCAAAAAATATTTTCTAGACTTACTACTTTAAATTATGACACAATGCTTCCTCCACAAATTCCTTTACTGCTTATCTAGAGGAAACAAATTTCTCTCGCCACGTGCAAAGATGTCCTACCTGCCTCGGAATATCTTATCTCAAACTCGACATTAAATCAAACCTGCAACGTCATGAATATTTTTTTTACTCCTCGAAATTCTCATCTCGCCTCCTTCAATAATCAACCATATCCCATTTTTAATCCAGGCACGTCTCATTATTTATTATTTACCATCAATCGCATCTATTCTATCCCCTCTGCATTCTGCATTCAGCTACTCCTCATGGATGGTCATCGCCAATGTAATCGTCTCCCTCCTCTCTCTCTGTTAGGCCTACTAATAAAAAGTCCAGAACGTGAGATTTCGTGGTTGAAAGACGTATAATAATAGCGATGGGAAGCAGCAGCAGATCTGGTGAAACTAGTATTTCGTTCGCGTGAAGTGTGGCTGGTTGGTTGTTTGGTGTGAAGAAAAAGTGGTGGTGGATGGATGGAGAGCAAAAAGTGAGTTCAGTCGCCGCCGTGTTTAAAGCAAGGCCCTTCGGGTCAACACACTCCCCGAACTCCCAAAGTCACCAAGTCCAGTACCTCCTCGTCAGCCCATCTGCAACTAGCTGATCCCCCTTTTTTCTGCCGTCCAAAACCACTAATTCATCCCCTCCTCGCCCCCAATATTGCTGGACAACTTTCTTCACTTTCACTTTCACTGGTATAAAAACACAAGTACAAGGGTAAACATATATATGTACACATTAGTCTCATTAGACTCTGGTCGGTTTGCTATGACTGGAGTTTTGAGTGTCCGTCCATGAATCTCTGATAGTGGACGGACGGGGTAACAAATGGTATGTTATGTTATGTTATGTAATCACCATGTGGTTCTGTTTGTTCATAAAGGTTGGGTATACGGACGTATGGTGTTCATCTGCATTAATTTTCTCTCCAAGAGCAATAACCACCAACGGCGGAAAATAGTTGCGGTAGCCATAAACGTATGTAAATATAAATTAATAAATAGAATATAATATATATATGTACGTATATAAATCATATTTTTAATCGATTTTGGGTATTTTCTTATTCAAGGATGAGGGAAGGAGGTTATTGACACAGCAATTAAAGGAAGGTCATTTCTATCTCGGAGTGTGGGGAAAAAGTAGACACGAAAACGGGGGCCATCGTTCATATTGGAGACGTAGGGGTGAAATAGTGAGAGGGTGGTGGGTGTGGTGGTGTTTACAATGGTTGTGTTCAATGTGGGGGATCTGGACATCCAGTTTCCATTCGTGCCCTATGATGTACAAAAAGAACTTATGAAGAAGGTTGTGGAGTGTATTACGAAGGTACTATTTGTGAATTAAACATGTAAAAATATATTACAGATACATATTTACTAACTTGCAATTTTCGTATGCAGCAACAAAATGGACTATTGGAGTCGCCTACGGGAACGGGGAAAACGTTGTCCCTGCTTTGTGCTGCGATAGCATGGCAGAAAAAACAGGCTGGGAATAGTAGAGATTTTCTTATCAAAGCCGCAATGAAAGGGGTAAGAGCTCCGAGTTTTAATCATGGAGGAGGATCAACGATGGACACGGGTGGTGGAGGAATCGCTACTGAGTCAACTTTCTGTAAGTTTCTGACTTCAATTTATAATAATGCAGTACCAATTAAGATTAAAATGACGATTTGCTGAGATGATACTATTTATCTTGATTTTAGATGTGCCAAAAATTATCTATGCATCTCGAACCCATGCTCAATTGTCGCAAGCAGCAAAGGAGTTGAAGCGGTCATTTTACTCAACGACAAAGACTGTTGTACTTGGATCGAGAGATGTGATGTGTATACATGACGGCGTATCTAGACTGAGCACGTCATCTGCGAAAATTATGGGATGCCATGTTCAAGTAAAGTCCAGAACTTGTCACTACTACAATAACGTTAGCTCAAAAAAGGAGGAAATCAGCACCGTTGTGATGGATAAGCCGGTCATGGACATTGAAGATCTTGTGGGTACGGGGAAACGGAATAGAATGTGCCCATTTTTCATGTCGAGAGAATTAGTTAAGGACGCTAGTGTGATTTTTATGCCATATAATTATCTGATGGATCCCAAGCTGCGATCGTCCCATGGAGTTGATTTAAAGGTATGTACATATGTTTGATGTTACACAACATGCGTTTAGTGAATTCCTAATTGGGCTGAATATTATTTGACCAATCTTTTCAGAATTGCATTATTATTCTTGACGAAGGACACAATATTGCAAAGAATTGTGAAGAGTCTGTTTCTTTTGAGATTAAGAGTTCCAGTATTACAAAATGCATCCAAGAAGTTACGCAAGTAAAATGGCAGAAAAATTTATTGATGAATTAATCAATGCATTGTTTTCAAACAAAATATATATATATTCATTTCAGACCATGAATGAATTCAATGAGATTACGCAACAAGTCGGCAGCCAGTCCAACTCTTTGATGCAAGATATCGATATTGGCTCACTTGTTACTTTGAAACAGTCATTTTTGCAGTTGGAAGGGGCTCTCGAATGTTTTAAAATAACGGATTCTGCTGGAAGTTTCATCCCAGCTAACGAAATTTTATATGCAATTTTTCAAAATGGATTTCCGCCTTCAACGTTCCCAAAAGTTATTAACGAGCTTGATGCTATATCGTCGTTTCAAGGTGAGTTGTATGAGAATGATGTTGACCAGAGGATTCTTGGTAGAATGTAAAATATAAATACAATTGTAAATGTTCAGAGTTAGAATCGGTTTAAGTTTCATCTTTGCTACAACGATATTTTGAGGTCTGTATAATGCATGATCAGAAATAGATTTCATATCATCCACAGCTTTGTGGTGGATTTTTATAATTCAAATACTGCTCTGTTCCTTTAATCCGTAGCGACAATTTTTTTGTGAGATATCCACTTAATACTTTCTTAAGCATGAAGTAAATAAGGGGTCACTGATTTTTTAACTGAATGTGCATATAATATTCTCTTTTCTCTACTCAAGCAATGACGCATCGGGATTCTTCTGGGTGTGATACGTTTGCTTCCATGCTCCGAATTCTGTCGTCCCAAGCTGTGTTCTTAAACCCGACTGCGTTCGCTGATTCATTTAAGGTAACAATCAGTGAAAACATTTTTGGTTTTTATAGAATGTGTAATACATATATTGCGTGATTCTATTTCCATCACTAGATATTTGTAACCGAAGAAAAGCGACATGCAGGCTCTCTTAGAATTTCAAATAATGTGGCTTCCGTTGGAAATGTTCCTAAAACATTTCATTTCTGGTGCTTTAATCCCGCCATTGGGTAAATAATTCTGTGTATTATCAGCATTAAAATGATTGTGTATAAATATTTATGCTGACTATGATTTTATTGTGCATGTGCAGACTAGAAATGATGCTGCAATACGGTCCCAGATGTATCATTCTCGCTAGTGGCACTTTGTCTCCATTGACATTCCTTGAATCTGAATTGCGAGCCCCGTTTCCTGTTAAATTATCAAATCCTCACATCATCGGAGATAGTCAGTTATTTGCCACTATTGTTAAGACTGGAGCAGCTCCTAAAAATGCAAAACTAACATCTGCTTTCAATAATCGATCAAATCCGGACTATTTGGGGGCCTTAGGAGAGGTGATTGTGTCCACGTGCAGCGTTGTGCCAAAAGGGGTTTTAGTATTTTTCCCATCCTACAGTCTGATGGATATTTGCGTTAACTCTTGGAAAACTTCGGGAATATTGGACAAAATTGCTCGATACAAGGTACGCCAGACTATAATTAAAGGAGGTGTATCCGTCAAGCTGACACCCTATGGATATGTGGTAGTACAACATTTTATTGTACTTATTTCAGGTCGTGTACGTGGAACCCAAAGGGAAATTCGAATTTAACCAAGTCATGACATCTTACTATCAGTCTGTAAAAACTTCAAGTGGTGGTTGTTTAATGGCCGTTTGCAGGGGAAAGGTGAACATTTGCATAACTGTGATTATTGTAATGTCCTGTTTAAACCATGAATCTGTATGGTGTAATATAGATTCATGGTTTAAACTCGTGATGTTTTTTTATCCCTAAAATCCTTTTTGCTAAATGACAGGTTTCGGAAGGCTTAGATTTTTCGGATGATAACGGACGTGCCGTAATCATCACTGGAATTCCTTACGCCCCATTTCAAGATCCACATGTTCAAGCAAAGAAAGCTTATCTAGATAGCAAATCTAAAACCAATGTATGTATACATGAAACCGTTTTGTTGTAGTTGTTAAGTTTCGATATATATATGTTTAAGCAACTTATTTATAAAATGCATCTGTATTTCATAGGGTATATCTGGATCTAATTGGTATCAACTTGAGGCAGTTCGTGCCCTCAATCAAGCTATTGGACGAATCATTCGCCATGCACAAGATTTCGGAGCAGTTCTCCTTTGTGATGAGCGATTTGATTATCCAGTTGTGCTGAATAACTTATCTCCTTGGTTAGAAAAGAGACTCAAGAGATGTTCAAGTTTTTCAGACGTGTTGACTGGGTTGTCGCAATTTTTCAAAACACCATCCAAGGTAAGACTCGTTTAATTATTATTATAATAAATGTAATTTTCCTGATTTATAATGATTTACTGGATTTATACTAAATATACAGAGTGCCGTTAGTTCATATCAAGTTGCATCAACGGCCGGACATTTTCAATCATCCACCTCATCAACGAGATCCATAAAAGCTAAAAGTTCTGACTACTCTGGGTCTGGAATTATATCCAGGTTTCAAGATATCGATATGGAGAGCGATATATCTTCAATGTATGCGCAAATTCAATCCTCCAACAATTCCAAGGATCCGACCAGCAGCATGGATCTATTCTCAAAACTAGATTCTCTCATGATTCGCCCAGCCATAGACTATGTCAAAGACGGAAAATCAGACTCAAACCGAGATATTCTCAGCAGTAGCAATTCTGTCACTGTCAGAAGGACAGGTTCTCAGGGTGGTGCAAAACGCCTCAGTGATGGGAAACCTTGGACAGACTTGAAACCAAAGCGAATTAAAATGGAGGTGCACAAGGTTCAGCCATACCTGTTTTCGACTCAATTAGAACCTTCGGCACCTTGTAGTAGCACAAGTGGATCTGTGATGTCAATGGATATCGATAATGAGTCCCCTTCCGCCGAGGACCCTCCAGTTTTTATGTCGGCTAAAGGATTTTCTACTTGGGTAATAATAATAATTTACATACATATACATATATATGTATGTATATATATTATATTTAACTGAATTTTTATTTTTTTTGTTGTAGTTAAAAAATGATCTCAGTCCTCCAAAATATGCTAGATTTGTAGAAATCTTGAAAGAGTTCAAGTTTAACAGAAATGTGGAAAAGCTTGGTGAGGAGCTTAAGAAACTCTTTGTGGGAGAAAAATTCTACACATGCCTTGAAGGTAATTGAAATCGGTACAAGAAACATTTAATGGTACCATCCACCCTAGATTTATGTTTAAATGTATACTGATTACAGGTCTGAAATTTGTAATGCACGACTCCACTTGCTCGCATCTGCTGCTTCAACTGCATAGGAAAGATGGTTTCGCAAATAAAAAATAGTGTTAAAATAATGTGATATATATGTATTAGTTCCGTTATACTTAGGTAGAAGCCATACGCAATCCACACATACGTATACCTTTTATAGTCAAATGCCTTATTTCTCGATTTATAAAGATTATTATACATAAGTGTTTCCAGGTTGCCATTATTACAAGGAGTTTAAAATTGACAATTCTTCAGTTCTTCATTCGTTTTGTCATGACGAGTTTATCGATAGGTTCAGAGTCGAGAAGTTGCATGGCTTTTACAATTGAGGGGTCAAACTCGTCATTGTTCTCGTCCATAAATTTTGGAACTGGAACTTGATCATGAATAATTCCAAAATACAGGTCTTGGTAGACTGCACGATTGTGTAGCACGAGCCTCGAGAGTTGTACGATGATCCCCATGACTTGTTCCTCGATAACCATGATTCCTTTGGGGAAATCTACATTTGTCAATTTGCCTGCTGCAATAACGTTGGTAGCATACTCTTGAATTCTGCGCACTATCAGAAAGTCAGGAAACAACGAAATTAGAATATCAGCCAAACACATAACTACGATGTAAAGAAGAGTAGTGAAACATACGCAATATATTCCGAACCGGATGATCTTCACGCGCACAACCTCGGACAGATCGACGCAATAATTCCTTTTCAAGATTCGTAATATGACGATTTATGAGTCTTTTCATAAACTGGTCACAGACTTTAACAGATTGCTCAGCCAAGAGATCCATCACGTTCTTCAGTTTTCTACATATACAAAATTAGATCACATTATAGGCATGCTCATGATCATAGCAATAATATTTATATTTGTGGCATACTCTTCGCTAACACAGTCTTCCTTTTTGATAATAAGATTCAGATCAGCTCGTAATGCTTCACGCAAAGGAAAACACTTTAGTGAATTTCCTTGTTGTTCACCATCTTCCCCAAAGATTATTTTAGCAGCGTTAAAGGCCCCTAATTAGAAGTATGGGCTATATTTTTATTGGCCGTTTTCTAAATTTATATTGATCTAGTAATTAAATTATCACTAACTCAAGACAGCAGCTCCCAAGAACGTTGATCTCTTGGTTTCTTCCGCGAGTCCAATAAATCGTGTCCAATCGAGTGTTAAAGTCTAACGTTAATAATAGATACCGCTTATGTTAGATATAAGCATACTCAATTTATAAGCAGTTTACATTTACTTATCCATACCTCAGGCCAATCGCCCGCATCCCAGTTCAAGACCTCAGCAAATGCCCTCCCAACCACAATAATTGGTAGCCGATCTTCCATTCGATGGCGCAATATCCAAGGCCGAGTTCTGTGAAGGGGGTCTTGATTAAGAGTGTACTGCAACTCAATATAACTTGCAAATTTTTTGCGCTCGTAGGTAACACAGTTGCTGATAATGGTTGGGCGGATTTGGGAGATTAAGAAGTTGGCCATGTCCAACTGCATTTGTTCCATTACATGCATTACTTCTTTAAAGACATCGGATGGTTTGCCTAATTGTTTCAATTCTGCAATTTGACGATCTCTCATAGGGCAACACAATTGTCCAAGGATGTTGATGATAAAGTCCGTGTATTTCTAGTAGAAAAGAAAGAAGAAGATGGTACAATAAGTCGGCATTTATAATGCATGAATACAAAATGTTTATAAAGAAATAAATATATATAAATGGAAATAAAGAACATACTGAAAACTCCAAAATCTCATGATCAATTTCGTATTGAATGGCACTTTCGTTGAGAAAACTTTCAATCCTGTGTTTGATTTGACGATTATGAGGCAAAAGTAGGCCAAGAAGCATCTATTGCATAATAATAACAAAATTAGTTAAGCCAGAAGTAGATAATTTTTAAACAAATATAAAAATACCTACCTGCTTCATTTCTCGAAACACGCTTAGTGCATAAGCAGGATTGGGATTATGCGTGGATATCGCCTCGTCAAAAATGTCCCAATACGCTTTTTTCATCTGGGTTCGGACTTGTTCTTCAAGGCTAATACACAAGAGATGGAATATTAACAATTCATAACAATTCGAACCCTTAATAAATCTTTATAATTAATTTATCATTTATCATCCACCTTTCGGCAGGCGGGGTATACACCTCCAATTGAAATTCATGATTTACAGCAATTTCATGAGCCAAATGCATGTTGGCAAATCCATTTAAAGCATTCTGCAGTTCTTCATTGGGGATTCGAAGTTGACGACCAGATACTTGAAATTCATTGTGAGTTTTCAGAAATTCCAGCGAATCGGTAGTTTCAGGATGCGCATCGAAATGTTTTCTTTTGTCCCATTCTTCCTTGTTTTTGGTACTTTTTTCTTCGTGAGAGCTATCAAAAGTAAAAGCATAAATTATAATCACTTTATAATTCTAATAAATCTTTCAGTTTCATTTCACATTATTGAAACTGTGCACCAAATTCTTACTTTGCATTCAATAGCACATCCTTCATGTATGCTTTCCTGCGAACGTTATCTTCATAGGTTGGAAGTGGCTTCCGACGTCCTTTGCAGTCAGGTTCCAAATCCGCAGGTTCAAAGTATCCAGGATCAGTTGGTTTGACTTCTGGTTTACAACAAGGATCAACCTTTTCACATCTATTGAAACATGCTCCAGTTGGTCTTGGGTACTTGAGAAGGGCATTGTCATCCGACACGTCTAGCAAATTAGGTGTTCCAGCACTCTTTGGTAAAATGACTTCGGATGCAATGTCAATGTCCGTAATCCCCTCAATACTGCTAAACGGCGTAGAACCAGCCATAGTTTCCAAACTCAGAGATCCCGACGAAGATGACTCCATCGGCATGCGAGAAGCGTGGAGTTCAATTAAAAGGGGACTTTTATTCTGTGCGATTTCAGGAGGCGGGGGTGGAGTCGTCACTTCCAATTTTTCTGTTTCTTCCACCGTCGGTACATCTATCACATTTGCATTTGCAGGGATATTTGACTTTGATACCTGTCCTTGGTTCTCCTCATTTTGTACAATGGGCTCTTTCGGAGGAAGCAGCACTTCAATGCCTGGTTGTTCCAAACCTGGTTGTTCCAAACCTGGGTTTGACATTGTACAACCAGTGGAAATGGAAGAGGAGATAAATTGAGGTCACTTTCAGTTCGAGTATGCGGATCTCTCTCACTCCAATCAGGCAGGTTCGGAAATGGGGTCACTCGTACTCACTCACTCCTCTCCAAGACAGTTAAGAATTTTTACTAACACTACGAATTTGAAACTCGAATCTAAAAAAAATGTACATCAATTTTGAACTATTTTCAGCAGAAAGTAATATGCCCTCCTGGCTGCCAGGGAGAGAGAATAAATGACCCATGAATGAACCCAGCTCGTTTTCTCGTGTCTCAACTCCACTCAGCCAAAAGAAGATACACCAAGAAACCAAAATTGCACCGTGCAATTTGCACGGTACGAGTCGTCCCCAAAAAGGTATTCAGGAAATGGAGTAAAATTGTGATAAAAAATGTTGCTTAACTTACTTGGGTGTGAAACAGTCAAATAGAAAATAACTAATCTTGTGCTTAATGTGTGATTGTGAATGTATTGCCAATTTTTCCTTCTTTTTTTGCTTAACCTCAACAAAGGTCCGTCCACGTATGAAGGTGTCTTAAAATTTAGTTATTCATGTCGTTTCGTGAGTGAGAGTTCTGCGAATATTTTGCGAGCATTGGGGACTTCCTTCTCTCGTTTGCATCTACGCAGTCTGGGGAGGGTGCAAGCTCTACGTGTTGAAAAGTGTGGGGTGAAAGGTTAACGAGAACAAAATTTTAAACTGAATTTTGAAAGTATACAAATTTTCAAAAACAAAATTAAGGCTGTGTTATGACTTAATTTTGTATTAGTGGGTAATAGAACCGTTAATTTTGATATTAGCATTATTTCACACATGAGTAATTCAGGGTCCATCGTTGGCTCTAAAATTTCATTCCGAGTTCTGATAACCTGGGGTTATCATTGCATGCACTGGTGCAATGCGATGTGACGAATTGCATGAGCTATTGCTATCGCAATTTACTATTTACAAACATGGTCAGCTGTTGTGCTGCGTAATGTTGGGGTATTTGCATAACGAGTGTTGAATATTGTTACAGTTAATAAACCATCGCAATTGTTAAGAATTTTCAGATTATGACCAATTATGTTGACAAGAATTTATTTGAAAGATCACAAAATATTTATTACACCGAATAATGCGAAGTTTGGCTTTGTTTCCAGTTGCATGAGTATGGATAAACGAATGCAAAACAACATGTCAAATATTATTCTCACATGACATTAATGCTGAACGTGCTAGGACTAAAAACTCCCCTCTTGTATAAATACCAATGCTGTTTGAGTACTGTGCCTATTGAACTTACTAACAATCGATCTGCGCATATACCTCACAAAAATGTTACAATTATGGTATTGCCAATGTCAAATAGTAAATAACAAGTAGTTTTCCGTGACTATCACCCCCTTACATGGGGATTTTAACTATGTATTTATTTTATGTAGTGGTACGATTAGTGCAGGATGCAATGTACTGCATTATGAAAAAATAATAAACGGTTAAGCATAATTTAGGAAAAAACACGAAATGCAATTAATGACCATAGACAAGATGACAATCTTCTGTTGAATTCAGACAATATTAACTTAATGTGATCCTGATCACACTAATTTCTGGAAGGATTATGAGACATTGAGACTACGCCGTTGAAGTAACTGCTCCAACAATAATGGCAAGATTATGCAGTTTGTTTCGGTTGTTTTTGTAGTTTGGTCGAAATTTTCAGGCAGTTGTCATCTTTTGACCTCTTCTTTTTGGATTTATTGAAATCTGTGAGAATAGACTGGATGATACAGGTTCTCCTGAGAACAAGTCTAGTGCTAAACACTATTTACAGAGACCTGAGGACAATAAATTGAGCAAGATGAGCTTGCTATTGCAAAATCGGAGGCGCTTCGTGACACTTGGAAATTTGCGAATGTGATTGCTCGTCATCGGCATTACAACCCCCGTGTGTATTTACTAGATGCATATTGACTGGTGCTGGCCTATTTTTGTTAAACAGATAAATATCTTTAATATGTGAAATTTAGCAAGAATCCCCAAGTTCTTCGAACAAGCAGGTCATTCTCGGCCTATTGCATCTCATCGGTAAACAGTTTCACCGTCCCGTCATCACAAATCAGTTGTTCATCTTGTAAAATATTGTTGACAACATTTAGGGAGCTTTGGTTCCTGCCACGCTGCTGCTGAAATTATATGAAATGAATTATAATCAGTATGTGAAACAGTTAAATATAAACAAGGAATTACATAAACTTCGTCGTTGGAAGTGTAGACCATTCAGAAAGTCCTCGTCCTCGTTTGATTCTGACTTGATTTCTGTACCCGATTCTTCCTCTTCATCCATATCGGAGAAATATGATTCTGAGCCAAACATCATGTTCAAATTTTACTCGTCTGAGTAGGCGTAATCGGAATACAAGGGGTCATTGTTGTCGCTAGAATAATCTAAATCATTTAGGAACACTGTCGTTCTCATCAGCACTCATTTATTCATTTATATTTCATATTTCATTGCATATATATCTTACACTTTCATCTTTGTAAACAGAGAAGAGAAGATGACTCCATTTCGTCTGAAGTCAATCAATCCGAAAATATCAGGAAACTATTTTCCGTATCGTACGTACGTATTACGTAGGTTATTAATATCTACTTACAATATGATATCTACATATTTTGTTGAATCAAGTATGATTGACTTTAAGTTGGGATATTTTCCACACTGCAAATGATCTGTCATATCTCCAAACTAGTCCAATTTCATTTTCCTATCATTAAAACCACTGCATGCATCTGTTGAAAGAAATGGCATTTTAAGTTAATTCTAACTTCTTATGAGATATTTGTAACCTAGTTAAACAATTACAAGCGTAGATTAAGCTTACCACAGTTTGACTTAAGGTGTGAAGTTCGCAGATATTCCCTCAGCTTCTGGATAATCTTGGCTGCCTAATATTTGGAACTTGAACTCGTACAAGCCTAATAATACTGAAAAACTTAAAAGTTGTGGAAAAATGTATTTAAGAAATTATTTGTTAAATATTACAATTAAACTGCACTTAACTTTAAATATATTTATTTAAATGGTATGTCAAGAAAGGTAGTATGTACGTACAGAGTATTATACAGACATTATGATAAGCTAGCGACTTTTTTTAATTTATCGATAACTTGCTAATTAATTAGTGGGGTTACATACTTAATATCGCTCTATCCGTCCTCCTGGTCTCTAACTTTCGAGCGTATCAACTTTTTTGAGATCTATTTATTCTTATGCAGTTATGAGATGAGACTTCGTAAAGGGACCTCATTTGCTACACCCTCTACGTTTTAAACATAATATCAAATATCTGCCAAAATATCAGTGTGCATGCATTAGCTTAATTTTTATTATGCCGTCTTCTGCATTATTATATAATATAATCTCCAATGTAGTTTTTAGTGATTTATACACTTTGCTATTTCGTTGCATGTATTTCAAACAATTTATGTACATTAACGTTTAGGCTCCACATCTCTTAATCAATACCTACGTATTATCAACCATTATTGTCATCAATTGTATACTCTTTAACTAAAAACCAATTTTAATTAAAAAATAATTATTATTTAGTATATTCTCTGAATTTTTCTCTATGTGTACTTGATTTCAAATCATTACATGAACTGGGAAAAAATGGAAAATTTGCACAATTTAAAATTTTCTTTACTATCTAATTTAACATTACAGCTTTCCCCACCAGCATAACCATATTAGACTACTAAATACGAAACCCAGTCATCATTTCACACATTTTTATATCAAAATATTGCCTTCCCAATGCATCCTTGGTCGTAGTATTCCTAGCCCATAAAATGTGTCGACAAAATAATGATATCATTTTATATGAAGGTTATTATGTTAGGCAAATAAATTATAAATCACTTACCGAGAGGGAAGGCTTTGGTGCCGTACAGATCTGCAGATGATATAATCATCGCAAGAAATAATAATTATAACATGATGACTTTTAGCAAAGTAGCGAAACAAAGTACAACACATATCACTGGGTGATTACACATAATGGTCTCGTACATGGTGCTATCATTATTATTTCTATGAACATGCATTAGTACTTGAGATTGCAAATATGTAATTTCTTTTGTCAGTTCACTTCTTCGCCTCCTCATTTTGCCCAAAATCGTCCATTTCAATAAACGAAATGCACTCGGCGTTCATGACCATAGTGTAAAACCAAAATCATGATCGCCTGAACGCCACCTTCAGTAATTCAGATAAGTTCCATTGGTTCTTTATGGTTTAACCTTCTCGGTTCGAAAGGAAACTGCCCAAAAACAATGAATAAAATGTTCGGGGATTTGGTTAAAAAAATTAAATGTAAACAGATCGCCAAGACTTTTCTTGCCGAATGTCTGCATCAATTACTAAATTAGCGACGTTAATTAGAGACACCGTTGAAATTAAATCTCATTGGCATGGTCAATGGTTCACTATTTCGAGTACAAAGGAAATATATTTACGGTGAAATATGTTATATATTTTAAGTTATCGGAAAATTTGGCTTGGGACTGAAAAGGTTAAACTGTAAAGAATCAAACCTGACTGATTGTGAGTCATTGGACGGTCATATATTTACCAGGTGTGCTTCGCCAGTTCTTTAATACGCCCTAGTTCCACTAAAAATGAAGTCGTGTCTGATTAAATTTAAATCTGTCTCAAAATTCTGGTTTTTATATATTCCCCTTTTGGAATCATGCATATATATTAAACACTGACAGCGGCATCATGTAATTAAGGCCTCAAGTTACACAAAACAAAAAGTGGAATACTAATAAAACGTATTTATTAATAATTGAGGGGGAAACCAATACGAACATCATTTCCTCTTTGATTATCCAATATTTCCACAAATGGTCATAATCAGCACGAACCAAAATATCTACCGGCTAACTAACAGCAGAGAGAAAGTTCTATCTTGGTCAATTATTGGCAAGAAATGATCCATAACTATGTACGCAACTCTCAACAAGTATTTTATATTACGCTCCACAAACTTAGCTCCTAAGCTTTGCTAATGAGACTAAATGACACCCATTGGTCATCCCCACCTCACTACACACACCAGTACAAGACCCCAACAATATAATAATGAGAAAATGTGAGAGGTGGTAGTTGGAATGATGTGATGTCGAAAATTCTAGAGACGGACAGAAGAAATTTTGTGGGGGATGAGATTTGACACAACATCCCATCCTTGCTATCCCATCGAATCTATGTATGTACCTTCTTATTAATAATAATATGGTATATGACGCTGTTGCGATTCCACGACCATATTCGCACATCTCATGCAACTCCTCGCCCACGTCTTTGTCTCACTCCATGAAATTCTCCTCCATTCAGGCTCAGTGTCTCATTTTCGTCTCAACGCACACACCACATCAAGCTACACATTCACCTCTCCTGGTTCGCCGATACGGTTTCTGTGACAGTTTTCCCGTGATATATCAACCTCCCCTCTCCTTGTAATTTTAGTGAGACTGCAGTGTCCTGAGACTAGACTAAGGTAAGCTACCTACACACAAATACTACTTTTTTTGCATAGAAATATATTCTATAATTCCGAAATGTCTGTGTCTCAAATTGGCAAAATAAGAACAATTCATTTGGTATTCATTGACACGGCAATTTCATAAAAAGTCCTGAGTTAATCCATTATTGAGGGTGATGCTTAAAATTAGCAAGTTTGACAAGCCGTGTTCCAATAGTTGACAAGCGATTAACAATGGACACTTAAATAATTCATTTTCCAACATCATTGCGCAATAGATGAACGTAATGGCTTTTGTATTTATCATTAAAAGGGGATAACATTACATGAAAGTTAGTGCAAGACGATGAAATGTAATTCACGTGTGATATACAATATAGGTTCAGTATTAAGTTAATGATTCATCACGGCAGAAGGGGCATTGTTCATTGAAGAAGATTAAATGTTAGTGTTGCCCCAACTGCAGAGTGTTACCAAATAAGTCCATACCGTAAATTATAAATGCCAACTAATTTAGCAGAGTGTATGTACTCTTGGATCATGATTTTTGAGTATGGGCATACCAGACTTGTAACACAAGAGTCTCTGCTGTTGGTGCTAAAATTTCAAATTGCCTTCTACCATCTTTTGTTCAAAAGAATGGTAATAATAATATGGAACATCAAATTCAGAGCATGCGAGAATCCCACACACCACAAGTCCACGTTTCACATCAGCCATCATCGTCTTCCCAGTTGTTTCTTATCAACTTGGAACAATCTCGTAATCCAGGTTTTTATTTGTTTCATTTAATAACAAGTAAAACAATGATGGGCACAAATGTACAAAAAAATTAGCCCCGTAACTTGTCTCAAACTGCAGTTTGAGTGAATTGGATTGGAAGTTTGTGTGGGTGTTTATGATAGATTTTTAAACCAACCATCTTTGATCTTTGTAGATATGAATCACGAGTAAAAAACTCACGGTCAATTTTTTTGTTTAAAAATTCATAGCTCACTTGTAATTTTAATCGTCTATTTAATTTGTATTTTATTGGTATAAGCTGCTAATTACCAATATGTACGATTGAACCTGCATCGAAATTAATAAGCAGCAAAATTTAAATAATTTTAAGGAGCATTTAATTCCGAGTTTAAGCCAGTTAAATTATCGTCTCACCCACCACACGCCATGCAAGAATGAGTGCAAGTAGTCCTACAACTGAAGTACGTATGCATGCATGCACATATGTAGTGAAAAAAAGTTAGTCATACTGAAGAGGATGAGTTTTGATGGATCTAAATTTTGGTGATACGCCCAACCCCACGTAACCAAATTTGTCCGGTTGGCGACGACGACTATTCATCCCATTGTATGCACATTTTTTACTCAATTATTATGACAAGGGGAAAACATAACGATTAAAATTGGTGCATTTAAACCACTCTGCATATTCAGCACCTGCATTCCGTCACCCATGTTAGGCCGGCACAATGCTTGAACAGGAATGGTATTTACGAGTCATGTCATTCACTCTCGCACTAAACGACTACTCCACAAAATTACGATATGCATGAGTACACAAGTAAAGAAAGTCGTTGGTTATGTATGTGATTTGCACGCATGCATGCATATCCTCGTTTTTCGAGCAAATGGAAGGTGACACCTAATCAATGAAATTGATCTCAATGTACACAACGCCACCAATCTTCACCTCATACTTATGCATGCACAGGTCGAAATATGCCCATGTCGTGATCGATGCGATTTCTATCGTTATAATGGACAAAGTTATAGATGGGAAAAGAGGAGAAATTGCAACACATTTCATCCCGGAGAATGATAATAAGCCAAGTGGAGAAAGTAGAAAGTGCGATGACTGCAACTTTCTCCCGGTGCCAGGCAGTCACAGGTACACACGCCGTGTGCATGTCTGGCTGTCTGGCAGATTGCTACGCACAATCACAACTTTAGCAATTTCCTTCCATGTACAAAGTATTGGCAACTAGCAGGTTAGGCTCGAGCTCGATGCGTAGGTACTTAGATATGTATGTATAAAGGAATAAATGTGATGGAATTCGGGCTCAATTCGCACTTGTTTTCTCCTGTCGCAGGCCACACAAATCATCGCTATTCTATTTACAGCTTCCGATTCTACTTACTTCGTGTCCCTTAATTCATCGCAAAGAGAAAAAAGTTGTGAATTGTGCAGTGCGTACATATGTAAACCGAGAGGGCGTTTTATTGGATAAATTCCTAAAAATTGCATACATTTAGTGTATCGTGAGTTACCTATATTTTGCTAAATTGTCCAGTTACACTTTGAAATGCATCCCTTAAGAAATTTGTTCTTACACAGTTGTGAAAATCAGTGTCGGTGTGTATCGATGTATGTAATTAGCAAAGCTAAGTGTTTAACGCAAATGTTAAAAGACTGTAAAGTGTGCTAATTACCCAAGACAATACTTGTCATATTTCGTCTCACTGCTGGAGGACATCATGGCGTTAGGTTACAAGTCAATTTCTATTGTCTGTGCTTGTATAATTTCCATACAATACAAAGAAATAATGTGTAATTGTGAATCGTACACGAGGAGGACAAACAGGTTAAAAATGAATATCACATAAAGCCAAATAAGAAATTGAATTTGAGCACACGAGACACAAATCAAAACTTTATATTCCTTCTCAGAAGGAATATTATTTATTGGACGACTCGTAATTGTTGGTTGTGTTGTTCTGCTGCACTCTTATCATGATTATGTGCTTGAGTAATATAATCATCGAGCTTATGGTAGCCAGCTGCATGGTTGAAAAAATGTTATCCATTTTCATGCGACCTTTATTAGTATTCTTGGCCAACATGTCAGCCACGTTGTGACAAATTACAACGCTAACTCAAAGCATTTAAAACTTTTGGTTTGTAAAGTCTTCTTCGTTATTATTCCTCCCATCCAAAATGTGATTACATTACGTGAGCGCAACTTAGCCCTGAAAGAGTAAATTTTTTCATGAGATGAGAAATGTGGTTATTTTCTTCCTTTTGAGTCAGTAAGTCACCCAATACTTTTGGACTGCATGGCCACATTTGAGATTAATGCAGGATGGGAGATTACACACCTGCCAGGTGATGTGATATTCATAACTTTTGTTAATTGAACATAACGTCACGGACTTCCATTCTCCGTGAAGATTATGTTAGAAAAGACGCACTTTTGCGCTTAAAATCTCCGTCTCTATCGGTCACAAATTCAAATTATTTACTGTCCTTTTACGCCGACATTTAAGTATTGTGTTGTATAATCACATTATTTGATTTAAGGTTTGGTAGGACATTTCTCAATATTAATTACTTGAAGATTTTCATCGCATCTATTTAGTAATAATGTGTGCGAGTAGAACGGAACAAAAAATTGCATATGAATGAGTGATGGCGTTATGTCAAGGAAAGAAAGGCTCGACAAGGAAGATCTCGAAGGTGGTAGTTACTTCTTGTGGTATCTGAGCAGATGCGAATGAGAGGAGGAGGAGGCCGGCCAAAATTTGCAATAAGATTGTATTGATGTCCGCCTCTATGATTTACGGCTGATTGTTATGATTTGATGCTTTGAAGTTGTTCCACCATAAATAAATAATCCTTCACTCACTTATCAAAATCAACAGAATGAAAGGTTGCGGCTTTTGTGAGACTAGTAGTGGCAGCCTGTTCGTGTTTGTGGTGTATCAAAAACGAGACAGGATTGGCATCGAACAATAAGTCTCGATGATCTATTGACGATAATTCAAATATCAGTTTCAATAATTATCAGTGGCTGAAGGAAACCACTTGTTCATTATGTGTCTACATGCATGAATATGTATGGATTGATTATATTACATGAGATTTTAGTTATTAATTTTAGTCCGAAAAATTTTACACTTGATTGTGAGAATTGTAAATGAGCTTTACATACGGTTTCACATTACTCATGCACATGTGCAATAAATAAGTAATTACTAGATTCAAAGTGTTAATAATAAGTGTCTCAAGTAGTTTATGTAGGGTGGCCATGGGCCATGAATAATCTTACATATTTTACTAGCTGAAAAACCTCGACTTGACTACGAAATAATTGTAAACCTTATTGCGATGACGCTGTTTATTGGACTCGAAACTGTCGAAACTGATACAAGAGTGAAGGTTGACCCTGTTAATAGTTCCTTATAAAGTGTTTCGTTCAATTTTGCATCAGTCTGACGACTGGCCACAGAATAAAGCGAATAAGGTGCAAATGATTGGGAGTAGTAGGATTTAGTAGGCACTACCAACTAATAAGTTGGTTGTACGAATATAGGATGTGTGCATAATAGTAGTGCTTCGTTCCTAGACAGGAATTTTACACGGCTGGCAAATCAGATCTCTTTCTGACCAAAAATGTTACAACTGCTACAAAGAACTCGAATGGTAGTTTGGTTGGCTTGGTGGTCATTCGTATTGTTAACGAAGATGATCGCATTCAGCACAAAACCCCAACGCCCACAACCTGACAAACGGACATGGACACCCAAATGAACCATGCAAAGATTAACTACAAAGTTCTTTGGTTGCACACATGACTTTGCGATATGGTCGAACGTACGTGCTGTCTACTAATTTTGGCTGTACATTCACTCGAGCTTTATTATTAATCCTTTGCAATATTTTGTTAAAAACTTTTTAAAAGTATTGTCCTTCAAATTCAATATTTATACAAAAAACGATACAAAACCTGTCACATTTCATTCCAATTTTGGTTGGCAGTTTGTAAATATGATGATGTCAAATTGCAATTGAATTTGTCACTGTTCATCTTATTGATACGTGACAAAACTTTCAGTAAAACAATGCCAAGTCACCACAACTTATATGTTGATCATTGTTTGACATCTGACTGGAACTGGTGACGAGAGCAAAAATGTATTTAATGCAAATAATCTAGTCATTGTTAGTTCTTGATAAACCCTTATATTTTTCTCAAGTTGTGCATTCCCTATTTGTTCAATAGAGATAATCATATTTGCTTGATTTAAACCACTCTAACTTGTTGTTTGTTCTTATGCCCGTTCCCAGTTTTTTTTTCTCACGGAGATGGGTTATAAACCAAGTAATAATAATTATCATTTGAATGTGTATCACTGTCAATGACTTTGCTTTCCAACGAGATAATGAATTTGAGCTGGCTTAAATGGTGAGACGAGTTTCTGTTTAAATGTGGACAAGCCAAGACACCATTAAATTATTTGATGTCATTTGTACGTGTGTTGCACAAAAGTGGGCATGTATCTGTGGGTGTGTGTATCTTCGCAGAATTGTTTTTTGACATGGACATGATTTCAGTGTATTCCATTTAAAACGAGGATTATGCTCCCAGTGGTGATAGATATTTAAGGACTGTCCCAGGTCTGATAACCGGATTGTGCTTTATTCTTTTTCTTGTTTAAATCAATCTCAAACTTATCGCTACATAAGACTTCATCGTCACAAAGTAATTCTAATGTATGTAGATGAGTCAAATTTGGCTAAAATGAGGCCTATTTGCGTCAATCCACTTACTCTAAACTCAAAGCAAGCAAGGGTTTAAGATTGATATTAATGTTTTAGGTGATACTAATACTAAAATTATGGCCGGGTGCATGACTTGTTATTTGGTGTCAATGTCACTATTTGCTCATTAACGAATGCATTAAAAAATACAAGTTCAAAATTCTGACGTTATGTAAATGGTTTTCAGAAATGGGCGGAATCACACAGAGGCCTTGGACCCCGACTAAAAGACGTGGACCTATTGCAGCAGAATTCAGTGGTAATTTAAAGCATCAACATGTAGTCGTTGAAGATGCAAAAAGTCCAGCCTGAGTTTTATCCTTTCTCTCCCATCTCTCCCATGCCAATGTTGAACATGTAAGAAATGCGACTACCAACAAATCCAGTTGGCCTTTTTGCATCCTCAACGACGATACAAGTTCTTACGGAGAGATAATTACTAGTCTCCTAGCACTATTAATTAAATATGTATGGTATTAATTAACAATGTTGCTTGTGATTAGGACCTGGACCTGCGTGGGTTACATTACCCGGACTGATAGGTAAGCAGGACATGATTTCATTTATAACAGGTTACACCCAGCTTTGGCAGCTACAACAATATAACAAAAATTATTAACCTGGTATCGGAATAATTATGTTGTGCAGGGAGAAAGCCATATGTCTCTGGGAAAAGTACTTCGCCTTGCTTTACATTTGGAAATAGGTGACTATTTTGGTAACAACTTTGCTTGTTGTTGGGCTTATATTTTCCGTAGCGGCAATTACAAGCTATTTGGCCACTAATATTCTTTCACCTGCATTGATATCTCTTCGCTAATTCAAACGCTTGTATGGTGGGCAGACATGGTGACACAACAGATTACGCTGGACCTGGTCCTGGTACTTATAATGTGATGGGCTTAAGCAGTCGTGGTAAGTGGTTTAGTATGGGAGCTAATAAATTAGTGGTAACCAAAATATGGCAACATGATATACGTATTCTCATCCGGTACATGTTTTTCAATTGTTTAGGAAAATCTTCCGCCCCGTCCGCATCCATGCATTATAGACACGCCGAACCAAAATCTTTTGTGACTCCAGCCCCAGGTGCGGTATTGATTACTGATTTATTATTTCTTAGTTATCGCATCTAACACAACCACAAAAACGATGTAATTGATGGCACACTTGAACCTTTTCAAGTTTATAATTAAACGTGACAGCATTAATGAATCTAGCAAAAACAAGTCCATTCGAAAAAAAATCGGAGAGAAATTAAAATTGTATCTGGTAGTCATTGACACGTCATTTCTTTCTAGGTGCTTACTGTCCGGAAAAGGCAGAGGCCAAGATTTTGGACCATTCACCAAAATATAGTTTTGGGCTCGTAAGATTATTTCCTATATGACAGTTAATATTATTGGTTGGAATAGATATTTCCTGGAATGTATAAACTATTTTTAACCATTGCAGAAGCCAAAGGCCGAAATTAAGAGCAATACTCCAGGTAAGTTGTCCTAGGCTTCATAACACTGCAGTGTTATGTTCCAGTGCACTGGAATCATGAATTATTATTAAAGTCTTAATCAATCTTAGCTCCAAATGTTTACAACGTTCCGTCCGTTCTTGGGAATGGAAATTGTCGCGAAGGAACCAAGCAGAAAGCCCCTGCTTATACCATGTCGGGCCGAGGAAAGGAAATTGTGGACTCACGAGTAACGAATCCAGGCCCAGGAAAGGTACATATGAGAATATGAATACCACAGCTTATTAGCAAAAAGTTCATGAGAAGAAGTACGAAAACCTTCGAACTCAATTTTTCTCTTGCGAGTATATTGTACTTGCGGAAATGCAAAGAAACTGATATCAGTTTGAGCTACTTATAGCTAAAAAACACTAACATTTTTGTTTTATTTTATTCAAAAGTATGAATCTGGAAGTCTTAATGCCATGAAAGAGAAAGCGCCTGCATATTCTCTCAGTATTCGAACCCAGCTTCCATCGGACGATACCAAGAAACCTGGGCCAGGTGCACACTCCCCGGAGAAAGTGAGAAAGAAAATTCACATCATTTTTGCTCCTTAGAACGTTAAACAAATGCTTTTAAACTTTCCTCTCCAGGTAAACATGTCTCCAGCACCAGCTCATACATTCGGCATCAAACATTCTCCATACACAGCTAATTTGAAGAGCATTTAAACAAGAAAACAAACCAAATTACAAAGATGCGTATCCATCGACTTGAAGAACGAGAAATTACGATGATATATTGACTGCCATACTTCTGTTGTTAAATGTGTGATTCTTATGAAAAAACTGAGATTGTTCGGATACATTATTTGCACGTAAAGTAAATCATCATCTGCAAGATCAAAAATTATCTGAATTATCATCATCATGAAAGATCAAAATGTGTGCTGTTCGTGTATACAACTAATAATTCACTAAATCATAATAATACCTTTGACGAAATAAGAAATTTGCCAATTTCGATGTCATTTTTTATGTTCGTCAGATACTCACTAATCTCGGTTTAATTAAAAGGACTTTGTTTATATAAGTATATATGTAACATTGCTAAATTCTGTATGAATTATGTATCATTTTGACTGAGCTAACATCAAATGAATTAACGAATTTCTGGTGTATGTATTTCTTATAATTTGGAAAATAAATAATGTGTTTTTTAAAGTAATAGCTACCTAAAAATTATTTAATTTCATGGAATGCATTACTTTCATGCAAAAATTACTGAAATTTCAACCAACAATTTTCCAGCCGAGTGGACAGATTTATTATCTTATTCAGAAACTAAAAATATTTATAATGAGAATTATTTATAAATATTGAATTAGCTTGTAAGATTTCAGTCTTGTTCAGTTATTATTCTTTTGCTTGTCCGTCGTTTGCTGCACAGTTCATTATTATTAATATTTGACAGTCTCTGAATAAAGTATGTAGTAGAAGAAGACGGATTTCAACAAATAAATGGACAATATAAATAAAATTAACATATGAATAACCATTTCATCAATAAATAATAAAATACATGAGACAAAACTATCATACGGAAACACTTGATTAATTCCACGTATGATTGTGTTGATATTGGTTGCTTTTGAGGTAGAGTTGTTGTCTGCGTTGACCCAGTTTTTTTATAAATAAAATTCTGAAGTCTTTGCCAGTCTTTGAATTACAGGGTTGTAATAATAATAATAATAATGATAATTATAATAACTTATCGTTAAATAATTTTTACAATTTATGACAACACAAATAGAACTTAATCAAAAACATGGATGCAATAAATATTAGTAGTTTCGTATAAATTAGGATAAATGAATGATACAATATGTTACCCCTTTTGGTTTTTGCATGCATTCTAAGTAAATTTGAAATTATACTAAAATCAACTAAAACCTAAACTCGTCATTGGTTACAGATAACACCATTCAATCCATTCTCGTCATTGCTGAATAGCAATGAGAAAATAATCATCTTGCAGCCTTCCAGGCTCCTGTCGCTAATTTCACCGGCAGCCATGCAACTTTACATCGACACAAAAGAAAATCTGCATATGTAACGTTTTCCCAGTAAATAAAATCCATTATAAATCCTCATAATAGCAATAATATTAAAGTAACAATTTCAAGGAGAATCATGATAACATTTTGTGGCGTGTTATTAATATGAAGCAGCAATGTAGAAACATAACAAACAATGAAAAGAGTTACAGTTGTAATCCAATTTTTTTACGAGTACATTTTTTAGACCAAATAATTTCCGAACTGTGACAGATTTTCTTATGAGAAAGTCTTAAATATATATACGGTTGGTGCTTACTTATTGTATAGACCTAGCACAATACCTATTTTATTAGTAAATAATCGGTTTCAGCATGATTATAATTTACAATACGTGTATTCTATGTTAGTGGAATATGAAGCAAAATTAACGAATAAAAATTGATTGCATCTCATCACTAAAATGACTCGGATTCCGTTGCACTATGTAAAGTGTTAATTTAAACTGATCCAACTTTTTCTACAACAATGTGCATATTACATACGTACGAATGGGTACGTTTAGCTTAATAATTACTACAATAATATTGCAACAGAAACTTACAATGCTAAGGGTTTTAGAAATACTTTATACATTTTGTAGCTATCTTGGCTCTGAACCTCATCAGTAATAATGGGTACATTTGGTATGTAGCATTATTATTAATACATACAGGATATATATTTAAATATTATGTTTCTTCATTAATACTACATTATTCTAAGTAACAGGAAGAACTGAAGACATGGAAGATTATAACAATATGAAAATAAATGAACATTATAAGAATATCAAAAAGAATAAATAACTTCATAATATGGATACATTAAAATTAACGGCGAGGCAGGTAAACCAACAACAAGGAGCACATTTAATGCAATCTTGTTTATTGTCATACCTTGCAGCTTACTTTTATGCTAAGTTTAATGCTGTACACAAATGTAAAGCTCGAACAAATTATTAGGCATCGTTTGGAGAATTGGATACATTTGTGAAATTTGAAAAAATTTACGGTATCATAATGTACCATGTAAATTGTGCATCCTTTACATTCATTCACAGTTCTTCAAATCGCCTAATTGTTCTTATATCAGATCGTAAGATTATTACTGAGCTTTACATTACACACTCTACATAAACCTATAATCTATTTCATTGCTCTACATCCGTTCAGATCTGTACTCTTCCCAGCTCTGGCAGAATAATTTATGCAATTATTTTTTACCTAGTTATTTAGCTAAACTATGTATACCTAGAAAACCTACCTACGTCAACTACCCTTCCAAATTATCCACAAACCAGCTTTTATTACTTTTTGCAAAAAATAGAAGTGTAATTTTATTACTCTTCATAATTTTATTATTACTTTTTCTGTATTGAATTTCTCATCAAAAATACTAATTTTAATTTTGCTCTGGATACATTTTCTTAACAAAAGTATTCTTGAGTCTGTTACAGTATTTTAAATTGAGCCAGTATTTCTGGAAAATTTAGATGAAAATACTTTGCATAAATAGATAAGTTTTTTTTTCGATTTCGATTCAAGTTAAGAGACAAGTAAAAAAAACATGAACTATTTGTCACGTCGTAATCTGTATGTATGTATGTGCAGAATTAACTCCTTCCTACCTACGATAGTAAACATTTGCCTAATCTCTTTGCACAATGTATAGTTTGAAGCTCTCCTAAAATAAATCTAAATACATCATTCACGGAGCGTTATTACTGATGGCACCGTAACCAGTCACACATTCCTTCTCCCACTTGTTACGTAAATACACGTCCTGTTTCGCCTTATTAATTAATGAACACATTGAGGTGGACCCCAGCATTATTTTGTGTGTGGGTAAATGTAGAATACGCAGTCTTATAAAAATCATTTGAACTCTAAATTAAATATATGAACACCCACTTTGAACTCTTAAGTTCTAATTTACATAATGATGAATAATTAGTATTTACGAATATTGTAGTCAGACTTAAGCTTGTACATGAATTACGAAATTTACGGAATTACTCTGCAGCGTCATTGGATAAGCTTACTCATTTGCCAGTGGCAGACATCAGTCTCAAAAAATACGTACGTATTATAGTTTACAATTTGGATTCTGCTGAATCAGTGATTCTATAAATTAATGAGTTGTATTTATATTAACAAAAGCCCATTTGATGGCCAAAAATCCCATCTGCCTATACTCCTCTTTTTTTGGTAGGTCGAAAGATCTTGTGAAAACTATAAAAATAACAACTTTATATTCTAAACTGAATATATATTGGAATAATTGACTCATTGCCTCTCATTGATTGACTTGTTTTCTTTCTGGTTGCAATCAAATGCCACAACCGTGAACAATTTTGGGTACTAAATTGAAAATGCAGATTCCATGAAAAAAATAATGCGCATTTGCTGGAGTCTGCAATATTAGGCCCACCCCTGTGGCAAATCAGTCTTTAGGTTTACCAGTCAGTTTGCGAATAAGCGTTGAGAAAGGGAGTGTAGGTAATCATTTCGTTCTAGTCATTCTGATGCCGACCGAAGTTCTTCCGGCTCAGACGGATCCCTGTCACGAGGAGAACTGCTGCTGCAGATTTCCGAACCGTTCTCAATATGCATAATGTGATGATCCTCGTTGATCATGATGTGATTGGAATCGTCCTTCTCGTCACCATCCATGGGCGGACTGTTTTCTTGCTTAACGCTACAACCCGCATCCGAATCCATCTTATCGCTGTCGCCTTCCAACCCGTTTCCAACATTTCCAGTGCTGCCATTCCCGGTTGACGAGATGTCCAGAGGAAGAAGATCCTCCGGACTGTAGTTGTTTGAGTTATCATCATGTTTCATGTAGTTCACGGCATCCTCGTTTTTGATGTTCATGCCTTGGTATGGCGACATGGGGAAGCTTCCTTTTCGATATGGACGGTTGGTGGTTATGCCCAGCTTTTTTACTTTGTCGTACAGAGTTCGAGATGGGACTCCATACTTTCGAGCAGCTTGAAGGGCACTCATTCCGCCTTTTACAGCCTCAATTGCGGCCATAATGTCGTTGCGTGTGTACTGCTTGTATCGCTTCCATTCAGGTTTTTGTCCAGGAACGTAAGTAGCAATACCTACAAGATACGATGATTCCATGTGAATAAAACGTTGTAACAAACAAGAGAATAGTCTGCGAGTTAACTAATTATACAGCACACATGTAAGTATATTAGCATTGTATTAGTATTTGCATATTAGACAAAATATTGTAGAAACTCCCATTACCTGATTTGGCATCATCCTCAATAGAAAAGGACGAGTTCTCTTCAAGAACCTAAATAGATAAGATAATAATAAAATTAATAAAAACCACACTCTTCCACTTCATCATTTACAATGCACAAACACACATGAGGAGAACCCAAATTCTATTTGTTCCTAAAAATACATAGGTATAATTTTTCTGTTCATTCTCACCTTATCGCTTTCCACACTTCGAATCGAGTCGTCCATGTAGTTATCTGGTGATTCCTGCTGCCTACTCATCTGGAAAAATCAAAAAATAATTTTGCTTTACATTACCACCGCAAACAAAGAAATCATCTAAAAAACATCTGTCGATCAAATTTCTATTATCATCTCCCTCCCACACTCACTCACCTTATCGTTACTGTGTTCAGTAGGACCGTTTGTTGTTACTGGCATGTAGGGGCTTTTGTACGGAGGTGTATTTTGATTGGACAAGGGCTGTTGGTGTTGCTGATAATGACTGGGAGACTGAGAATCGATAGAATTGTGTTGTTGCAGTGCCGTGTGTCCCAAAACCGTTCGCAAGATTGGAGTGTCCTTGTTCGGTCCCATAAACTTCTTCTTGAGTGGGACCGGTTCATTTTGCGAATTATCATAGTTGTTGCTCCCAGCATGTTTAGGTGATGATGATGACAACAATGGCAATTTGTTTGTTGATGGCCAAAGATGAAATGGGATCGAGTTTTTATCTGGATAACTGCTGGCGTTGTATTGGGCGTCATAAACTGGAGAGTCGTTTGGGACATACTTCGGAGTCGTGGGGACTGAATTGTTAGACTTTGAGTACGTATTTGTCGTGTTTGGAGTCGAATGAAACTCTGTATTGGAAGATACACTGGAAGGTGGGTGTGAGTGAGACTGATAAGGACTTTGCGATGGTGGGGTGGGAGTCGCCGTCCCTGCGACGTTATGATTATCCTCAACGAGTCCTTTGACTTTTAACGTTTCTGCCGCTTTTAGCAGTCCTGCGAGCTGATCTTGCGCCACGTTGACCTCTCCTTTATACATATACTCGAGAATCGCCTTAATTTCCCTGGACTTGATATCCTTCAATATCACGATCGGGTGACGACAATCGTTCTCCATGAACAGTTGTTGAAAATATGAGGAGCAAGCGGCTAGGACCATTTTGTGGCATTTTATCGATGACCCGTCGCAGGCGAGCGTAACGTCTGTGAAAGCTTCGGTTTGAAAGAGGTGTTCGAAAACGAGGAGGAGATTGGAACGGTGATTGTTCCACCGGAGACAGTACTGCTGAATTCCGGAACCCATGGTCTGCTCAAGAGTTCTAGAAAAGATAACAACTAAATGAGGTGTTGTGGTTGATAATCGCGAGTTGTGATGATGCAAAAGCAGAGTTTGCGTGTGTGATGATGAGCAGCACTCCAGTTGGTATTGTCGTAGCCAAAGCTGACAGTGAACTGACTGTGCGCATGATGGAGAAACTGCTTGGTGCAAGAAGAGAGTTGCAATTTGGAGAAAAGTGAGCATGGATATTGGGCAAGTTTCGGTTGGGGTTGTGTTTGATGGATATTTCACTACAATCCAATCCCCACTCTGCCAAACTAACCCTTGTGTGCGTGCAAAGGAAGCTGCTGGTTGGAGGATGGCGAGGGTCTTCTCGCAATGGCAAGAGTTATCCCTTCCATGATGCCCACACCAGGTTCAAGTCCAAGTCCGTAGTAGTTTGATGCACTTCTTCTTCCCCATTTATTCCCATCAGCAAAGGGGCGAAAAAGTGCCAGGGATAAAATCGGGAAAAATATGCCAACCTATTTCTGAACAGGAGTATGAAAAATGCATCACGCGTACTTATATTTTTAGTGCATGCGAACCTTTACAGCAAAAGTAAAGTAAAGGACAAGTACATAAATAAGTACCCCCTGCACGGTTGAGAACCGTAGCAGCCAGAATATCAGCAAGAAAGAGGAGGATGGCAGAACCTTCACTTATTCACTAATCCATCCGTTCAAATTTCTTGCGGTATTCGGATGTAAAAGGTCTTTTTGCTTGCATTTTGTTAGTAAGTGCATCAACCCAAAAGCAGCGTCCTCCTGACATAGCCGTATTTTAAAGGTTTTTCAAGCATTGCAATGTCAGCATTGCAACCTATACGAAACGAAACGAATGCTTTTTACGATACTCGATACCATGCCAAACTAAATCCAACGACCAGATGCTGAGCAAACCCTCAAAGTTTGGACCATATTGCACTAAGTTATCGGGATTATGGCAGGTTTGAATTCTCTACATCCTCATCCATATATTCCTCCAACAACAAAATACCTACCACTAACTCTGCTAAATTTTGTCAACAATAAACAAGCGAGAAGAAGACCAGGATTGGGTGGAAAATATGTATGTGGCAAGTTTCTGCTGGGGTAGGATTTCATGCACTCCTCCGCAAAAGGGAAACTCCAAGGACAACAATGCATGCAACTCTCCTTCATCCCATGCCATTTGAAAAGATGGGAAGAGGCATAACGAACGACCCTCTGCTTCATTCCTTTGACCTGGTTGCAACTTTGTAATAAATAAAAATACTGCAATTGCAGTGTCAGAGTTGGAGCTTTTCAGGTATCCGCAACCCATTTAAAGTACTCTTCTGCGTGAGAGAGCTGCAGGGTACGAAATACGAATCTACGAAAAACTGGGGGCTGTTGATGAGGGGTGGGAGGGATATATATATATCTCAGCGTCTTCCTGCTTCTCCCACCAACTAAATAACTGTATGACTCAGACCGTACTTATTGTTTTTGTGCATTGTGAAATATGTGCATTTTCTTTCCTCGTGCTCTCTGAAAAACTTGGTTACAGAGGTTTCGAGTAGTTTGTGTCGTGGATATGTAGGAGCAGTGCGTGCATAATATTTACGCGTATGTTGCGCTATACGTACATATACGCACTCCAAGTTTTTATGCATCACTTGGCCAGTGTTCTTGCTGGCTTAATACTGCAATGTTGCAGTTATCCAGCTCGGTTGGAGTTTTTAGTCGGAGGAGAGAGAAGCAAGGAATGATTTGCCAGAGGAGGGGAGGAATTTTGGGGGTTACATTTTCGTCTTAGCGTGGTCTGCACGGATGGTGGTGGAAGTGGTGGTTGCATGCGGAGGAAAGTTTGCTAGGGACATTATTGACACAAACTTTTGCTTCCAAATATAGCCAACTATACGCATTCTGCAGAGCTACGCACGTTCATTGTTGATATTATGGAACGGAGATCGACTTTCTTTCCATCCTTCCTTAGCGTTTCAAAACAAAACGTAGCCAGGAATGGCGTAGCGAGTTTTTGAACCCGATGGTTTACGTGGCTTGCTTAACTTACAGAAAATTGCTCATCTTCTGCTACGCCAGGATCATCAAGCTCCCACACACTGCATGTCACATCCCTTGCTCTTTATGATTGACCCACAAATGGCAACCTTAAAAAAGATGCAGCAATGACTGGCTCGAAGAGCTTCATATCGTAGACTTGATATCACCAAGAATACGATCAGTTCATGGAAGTGGACCAATAAACCAGCCAAGCAAGCAACATTCAATCCAATGTCAATGCCAGCCAAATCTCATGTCACACATATGCGCTTCTTTTCATGCTTTATGAGAAGTGAAGAATGAGTGATCTACAACCGGGGCAGTGATAACGTAAGTAAATATGTAACTTTTTCGTTCATCCATGTGCATGTGTAACAACCAGCATATTAAAAGTAAGCAAGAGGCAATGCGCAAGGAACCCCTACTCGTTTAACTGCGATTAACATCCCATCAAATCAACCAAGATTCAGAAACTAAATGTTTAAATGTGCGTGTTACACATATTTGTATACATGTATGTATGCGAGGAGAGTGAAGGGGTGTATCTAGTACAGAGAAACGGCGAACCCTAGTGGAAAGACTGCGAAAATCGTGTAATATTGTTTGACGCATTCGAAAGAGACAGAATTGATTTAACATTTAAGTCCCGTCTCGTCATTAGGAGAGGTGACCGACTGTAAAAATGAGTATACAAAAATATTCGGGAAAAAAGTCGCCAGAAACTTTGTCCTAAATAACCTATGGACGAGCAGACGAGGTAATTAAAAAGTGGTGGTTTTGACAAATCAGACCATCACAAAATAAATACGTATGACTTACATGCTGGTCAAACAAAGAAATTCGTCAGGGCCTCTAATTAATATCATATTCAAACTTCGTCCAATCCGTTTACATGAAAAAATCCGATACTATTGGCATTGCATTAATAAAGAAGAAATTTGTCGCATTTTCCACATAGCACAACAAATTCACTCGTAATTATGCATTTTCCTGCCTCCCCTCAATATGCGTAAGCCTATCAAGTGGGCTCTAAATAAACGAGTACGTCAAACCGTGAGTGGTGGTGATTTATCCAATTTATGTATATCTTTAGCTAGTTCGATTTTTGGAAAGTTTCAATACTACTAATTTTTCTCCATAGTATGAAATTTTGTGTAAAAAACAAGACAAAAAAATTTCCTCGTATACTTGTCATTACCAATGTAACAAGAAGCATTAAGTGCAATTTATTTGAAATAGGTTTTCAGCAATTAGTATGCACAACCGTGAGTGCTGATGATGATTCTGGATCCCGTGTGTAGAATTGACGTTAACAGGAAGTGCAAGCTAATCTCAGCCGCATGCATATGTAGCGATTCCTAATTTACTATTTCTTAAATCATTAACTTTGAAATTGTAGAGGTTCTTCTTGCTAATTAGGTTTCGTATTTTGCATTAAGCTAAAGTTTGCATGCGAACAACCTCCCATCGTAATTTGTGCTCTGCTATCAGGTCTCCGGTATGGCAAACTTATCGCCTACTAATTGTTGAAAAATTCCGGGCTTTATCAACACCACACTTTGTGTTATTATTGGCTGCTCGTTTGCCATTGCAATGACGATTGCGATGATTCAATTCCCACACAGCATTGCTACATCATATAACAAAGCAAATAATGACATTGGTACTTAGGAGAAAAATACAAGTTATTTATTTATTTGGAAATTTGTCTGAACTTGTTTCACCTTCAACCCTGAAAATTCCACTGCAGAAAAGGGACAATAACAAGAAAATGGCTAAATGGCCGTCAGTGCCATATATTTACACAAAACTGTAGGCAAACTTTGATAACACGACATCTTTAATGTTTTCAAACCTATTTTCATGCCATATGTTGAAAACCAGCCAATAAATATTTCCTCGAATACATCAAAGGAAAGCTTGACGCAGGAGGATGATGTTATGCAAGACGCAGTACAGATATACAAATGTACGTACACGCATGAATGCATGCACTCTGTATCATCAGTTCGATTAAAAGGCCAAGGTTGCTATTTTTCTCCACGATGGAAATGTCCCTACAATTGTCAGACCTTGATTCACCACCAAGCACGGAACCCTTTCTCGTCCAGTCTTATGTAGCCTCCTGCCTCTTCGTTATGAGCCTTGAAGCATATGCTACGCTCGACCTGAGCCCAACAAAACTGTTTGATCTATCGCTAGCAATTTTGAATCTAGTGTGCACACAGAGATTTGTGTTATGCAAATACATATGTACGTATCGTAATCATTGATGTGATAAATTGTACTGATGAATTGTAATACGAACCTGATATGTTTCTCTGCCAATTAGCGATAAGTCAGTTCCCTCTTTGTCCTCTGCTGGGAGCTGAAATCAGTGACCTGGCAAATTCTTCTTGAACTTCTATGGATTGAGCAGGAGGCTTGAATTCATAGCTGACTGGAAAATTATTGTCCCCTTTTACGTACGTATTACTGATTGTCACAAGAACATGTCTATACAAGAACAAAGTGCTGGTTTTAGGTGAGCCAGAGCTCGTGTCTTTGGTAAAATTTGGCTTGGCGAGTTTCAACTCTTGCTGTCAGCAAGTAACCTTTTCTGCAAACACTTGACCTAAGGAATTGTCTCTGGTTCCACACAATCATTAGTGACTGCTTGGCTCTTAACGCAGGATTTGATATGTATACCACACAGGCTGGATGGTGTTCAAACAAGCTGCGTTTCTCAATCACTTGGTTTATATTAGGTTAGGTTATGAAATGAGGAAGGAAGCGTCTCCTTCACTTGTGCAGTTGCGAGTCAGTCAGTGGACAAGAAAATGGCCAATTTCGTCTCAAGCAGTTGTAATCGTCTCGCGTACTCACTTTTCTAATACGAATTCAATGGCAGATAGTGTTAATTGTTGTCCCACTGCCAAATTATTTACGAATTGCGAGGAAATATTTCCATTCGGGAATATGCGTTTTCTGAGACAAAGTCAATAATGCTGGGGGGATGTGGACGAAGAGACAACTGGGAATCGACAACTCAGCCTAAATGCTGAAATGAAACTGAGGAAAAGGACCCTTAGTCAGTTTTTTGTGTATGGCTACTCGGCATTGAGGGGTCCCCTTAACATTGAGCGAAACTAACCTTCCTTCCTTCCCATGGATATAATCCGAAAAGCATAGCGAAGCCTTTACCTAGGTCAACCCCTAAAAAATCTACGCCCAGTTACGCCATTCCAGTCCACTAAAAAACATTAAAATGTGAAGCAGCCTCATCATCTTCAAATCCTTCCCATACTACAAACCTTGGTTTCTTTGACTCATAATGTTGCACTGTATGCTTCACATTTAACGACGGAGAAAAGGCATGCCATGGAAGAAGGACAAAAAGTGCACATTACTGGTGCGTATTTGGTCCCAATAACTATTTATATAAGAACTTAAACAACGAAATACTAATAGCATAGCCAGAATGAGTCTGCAATACATTAAGCGTGTTAAAGGTTGCAATTTGCAGTCCCTTCAGTGCGAAGTGTGAATGCCCCCTAAAAGACCCTCAGATTTCGGACTGGCCATTCCTACACGGTACCCTTTATTTTATTCTGCCACCAGAAAGACGAGAGGGATGGACGACATACTGGTTTCTGAGATCAAAATAACTGATAATAATGCAGCCCATTGCACCATAGAGTTAAATGCATTTAGTTAGTTCGAGATGATCCCACTGCACTGCCATTTACGGGTGCGTATCATGCGTAATGTATGTATGTATAATTCACACATATACTGCAAACGTACATATGTAGAGAGACCAGTTGAATCAATCAACCCTTTTTCGTTCATCTCTCATCCCGACGAATTAATGAATGCACTTTGTCTCCTCCTCATCCATGATGATGAGGGTGTCTGTGGTTGTAGAAACATACGTGCAATGTGCAGTGGTCATATTCAGTACTTGTGCAATTGTAGTTGACTCCTACGGAAATCATCTCTGTTAGAAATTCATTAAATGGTTAATTTAATCAAGCAAGTTGTATTTAAATAAATATAAATAGATAACCATACGCTCGCTGCGGTGGGGAGTGAAAACCTAAATATGTAGCAAACGTGAACTTACCCTATGACCCAAAAACAAAATGGATAAAATGTCATTAAAATCTGAAGCTATACTTCAACTTCTTTCGCATTTATTCTTTATTGTTGTATCCTTCATGCCAGTTCCGATGAGGACAAGTATGCATTTTATGTGGTAGTGATGTGCACTTTTGAATAGCTGCCCTGTGTTGTTCAGCATAAATTAATTCAGTTGCCAAATAGAAGGATAGGAAGAACGCACGCACACACACATAATTTTTTTCTTGTGCTGGTCTGACCAAGAGTTTAAGAAGAAGGAAAGAAGAGAGAACAACTTGTATCCAGTTTATGCATTCCTGCCGCTGGACGAGTGATTGCATAGTAAATATATTATTGCATCCCAGGCATAACAACAAAACCCTTTGATGCCTTTGCCAAGAAGGAGACCAAACCAAGCCAAGTGAGATTAGAACTACTTTGAAACTTGGACGGCGATCTTGTCCTTGAAGTTTTTATTTTGATTCAGAAGATGATCCAAAACATTTACAGGCTTTCAGTCAATGCAGGTACTGCGATGCACGATGGCGATGGACGATGGCGCGTTGCATTGCATAAAGAGATGACTCTCCTTCTATCTCAATAGCCCAGTTTATTATACATCAGGCTGAATTAGCTTTATTATTCGTGTGTTTACTTATTTCGATGGGGTTGATTGACTGACTCGCAGTCAACGTCAAAAAGGATGATCCTGGAAGTTGTGGTTGAATTGTAGGACAGAGTTGCTTTACTACATTTCATATGATTTAGCAGAGTGTACATAAATACATACATTAGTGTATAATGCATGTCTTCATGCATTAGTGTGTTGACATTTGGTAGTCCGTAGTATCATAAGATTCCGTGTTTGCATTATGTAAGTGATTATTAAAAGTGCATCGCAATGGCAAGTACCATTTCAATGACACACGCAGAGAAACTAGTGAATGAAATGTTTTCAACAAAGGTGTTGATAAATCAAAGAAAATCAGGCTGGGAAGATGAGACTAATTTTTAAAAAGTCACTGATTTGATTGAAATGTCGTGAAATTCAGCGAAAGATTATCGCTTTTTAAGACATGACAAAAGAACAACATGAAACTGCAGTTGTTTTATTTTTGTAGGTTGTGCATAAATTCAAGTGCAATCCAACCTATAAAAAATCAAGGCCAAACTCAACGGGTAGAAAGTTCACCTCTTTCCATCTCCCCGTATTTGTATGTTGGTTGATAAATTATCTTCTGTGTGTCAATCCATCTGTAAACATGGTCTTTGTTCCAGGTGAAGCAGTGTGTGCATGAGTTTGACATTCCTTCTTATTGGCCTATTGTTACAGTCGGACGGAGGAAGGGGAAAGAACTTTTACGAGTTGTTTGCTGTATTTCGCTTTCGATTTTTTTGTACAAGGGAGGAAGACAATATTTTGTTGAGCTATTGATATTTCAGTTTTTCACGCAAAAAGTTTCCCGTGACTGAACTGGACACCATCATTATTTTCATCTCGTCTCATCTTTCTGTTGACGTGTAGTGGTGAACGCAAGTGTCAATTTTACTCCCCTGAGAAGCAAGGTGAAGATATGTTGGCACATTTCGACAACAAACTAAGTTTTCACGGATTGTCGTCAATAATGGATTGGCAGGGTTATCAAATGTCAATATTTTTTCTTGACATGCAATCATACTCAATTTTTTATCCATTTCTAAGAACCTATTTTTTCGATAAATTTCACGTTGCATTATTGTAGACTCATTCTTGATAAATAGCTGTGCTACATTGTCCAAAAGTAGAAAATTTAGCGCACAAACCAGGTAAATACGTATCTTGGAAGGATCATAAATTGAACCTGGAATCGTGAAATGTTACTATCGAGAAAGATTAGTATTCGCTGTGATGAATTCCAGCAGCATCACTGCGACTAAAAAAAAATATGAGCGACACAATGCACAAACGACATTCATTCCTTGGCAATGCTGGGACTTGGACAACTTGATTCTCGTGTGTACGAACGTCTTTCTTTCTTTTCGTCCATCGTCTCATTATGGGGTTGCATTATGGGCAGTGCGTGGCTTGGTTTTGCCGTGGTTTAAAACATGGCATAACATAAACATCCTAAAATTCTCACTCGGCCTGAGACTCTAAGATGCTGACTTGCAATCCTACGCACACCACCACTCGCACTTCAGCAACTTGTAAATGGGCTGGAATACCGTGGTGAGAATTTATTTATAGGATTTTCAAATAAATCCTGGATCGTTTGCAGTCGTACTTCTTGAAGAAAGACGTAACGGGCAGGAGTACAAGTGTATGAAACTATACACATTGCGCTGCATCGTCAGTATTGCAACAGGATGTCATGGATTTTTTGCCTTCCTTCCTTCCCTTACATAACCTACCCTTGCTCCGACTAGTGCGGTTGCCAACTGACTCTTCTCAATGAATTTTGTTATTGTGCCAGTGTGTAACATTGACATTGCTGTGCTTGTATGCTTGCTTGCAGGAAATTGCAGTGCATGGATGGGTGTAGATACTCGGCTTCCGGTATTACATGCTTACTTACATACATATCGGACAGATATGTGCACACCATAAAATTTGTAGGATAAAGATGCGGAGCTGAAGAGTTAAAAATATGGGAATGAAGGTAAAAATAAAGGTATTAATCCACGCAAATCTTCAAGTTCAACTTGTCCCGGAGGAACAGTTGTCAGTAAAAATCAGGAGATAAAAGATCTCTGACTGTTAGATTGAGAAAGAGATAAACTATACGCGAAAAACAGTTGTCAGCATGAGAGCAGCAAAACTTTCCAGACTTTTATACGTGGAACCTAATAACTCCATGTTTATGGTGCAGCAGTGTTTGCCTAAAAAACACGTTGTTTACGCGTACGTATGCACGTAGAATTGTGCGTACCAACCAACCAGGGAGTGAACCAACTCACATTTGTTAAAGTTGTTAAAGTTAAGAGTTGAGCGTATTAGCATTAATAATAAAAAGCAAGATGGTTGGGTAATGGTTTAGCTGTGTTGATAAGTATTGCATCCCATTTTCACATTTACACCACCACCACCACCATCGCATTCACATTCAAAGTCCGGAACGAGAGACTACTAGCACATATTCAGCAGAGAAAAGCATTCCATTCCAAACAGGATTCAGATTCAAAATGGTTAAGTTTACATTTCATTTTTTGCTCAAGTTCTGCCCAAGACGATTCTTCGTTCGAGAATGAGTTGAGCAGGGACGAGAAACGCTGCTGTAGGATTTGCTGGAGTAAGAAGAAGTTCACCTCATGTTTATGAGAAAAACATACTGCTTACACGTACAAATAAATAAATGCATTCCTCTTTTTTCCTCCCTCATTTCCCTGACACTTTAATCTCAAACAACAACCTGCCGTGTAATTATAAGTAATCAGGGGTGCAAATTCTGAATAAAATGCGGCCTAACTTTAGCCCTACTTTATTTTACATAATGAATGAAGGAAACGTGAGAATTGAGCAAAGTCTTCCACGCAACTGGTAAACTGGAGGAACTGCTTAATCTCACCCATCGCAGTTTCTTCTTTACAGTCAAGTGGTTTCATAAAAGGTGCATAACATGTCTTGAATTCGGACATTTCTAGCTTGGGAAATCTACTCGAAGCCACGATTCCTCACTTTTCTGAAGCCTGTGGGATTTGATAATCCAGAACTTCTTACCATTTCGAAATGTTTTTGGCTGCATTTTTACGTACATTTATGTGAAAGGAAGGATGGGGTTCAGTAGGGCAGGCATGTTGTTTGCAAAGGAAGCCAATAAAGAGAAAGAGTTTTGATGATAATTCCTGGCATTGCTACTACTACTTTATTTCCACCATGATTTTTTAGTTACTAACATGCCCATCAAATATTTACCCTTCCTTCAAAATATGTAAATACTATTCTTTATAAAATAATGGTTAAAACT